AAAATGTCACTTTTCAAGATTCGTAATACCCGTGCCGATACGGAAAACAGAGTAATCAAAGTAATCATTTCGTGCTAAGATTGATATAGTTATAGTCACCGTTCTGTACACACCGCACGTCGCTACTACCGATTGATGATTTAGAGCCTTCGCACACTACGTCGCATCGTAATCGTATCGTAATTCGCGCATATGACGAGAGCAAAACGAGCTCGTATGTGTGCTAACAAGTCCGCACACGAAGCGGTGTTGCAGCGAAGCATATGAGATATTCAATCGTATTACGATAGTCGTAGCGGTCTGGCGTAAGGCAGGCGTAGAACCAAGCGTAAAATTTAAAAGTTTTGTTCTATTGCTTTCGATATGGCTGAAATGTCTCCTTCCTCATTCGATAAAAGCTTCGGAATTTACTATCATCTTCCGAAAGTCTACGTGCAGCAACAGACAATCCTTTCTTCTTATTACTTGCGATGTATGTATGGATCCAATGAGCCCGTCGCTTTCTATTTCTAACATAATCACACAATAAAAAATCTTCTTCGTCTGAAAAAAATGTAAGATCATCAATGGATACACCAGAAACATCTGGTACCATTGCCGCCATGATTTCAACTGAGATCTTACAAAACAATACGAGTACGTGACGATGCGTGTGTGGAAGACTGCAGGTCTCGTAAGCGTTGCATCGTAACGATACGCTTACGAAACGACTACGCTTACGATGCGTGTGCGAAGGCCCTTAGTGAGGTCTTCGGACTGGTACGTAGTGGCGTTTCCGCGTCGCCGATGTTGCCGGAAAGATGACCAAACTTGAGGAAAGTAAAAGAGGAAGGAAAAGTCGTAACAAAGTAAGATTACCAGTATACCTTTATACATCTCCATCTCCCTCATATATACTCATGCAACCTACCCCTGTGTGTGCATGTTTGTTCGGTAAGCCCAAAGACATCCGTCTCGAAAACTTTGTCGTTACGTATGAGTGCCCTTCAATCATATTTGTCAGAGTGACATCTCACTTGACATCGGCGTGCAATTTGACTTGTCCTGTTATTAATGTTCAATATAAAATCGAACAATGCCCGGAAATACGATCAATGGAGAAGGCCGACAGCTCACGCTAAATTTATAAGAGTATTTCCAGGAAGAGAATGAAAACAGCGGTCCCCTGTTACCACTTCATGCGTACTGGAGGGAGTAGCAGAGGTGAAGATCCGCGCATGGTACGGAGACTCGATCTGTTTACTTATTTCATATGGCGTTGATGATGTAACCACGAAGAACGGTGAGTACAACTATAGTCAACGCCAAACAAAGTGGCGTGCACGTCATCACGATAAAAATTCCCCGACGTAATGCCTAGGTTTCTATCACAAACAATTGCTCTATTGCAGTTTCATATTAATGTGATATATATATTGTAAAATGGTCATTACTCTCTTATTATGGTTAATAGTCATATAAACATTGTTATTAAAATATCACATAAGTTGCTTTCTGATAAATTTAGACGCATTATGCGAAATAAAATGTTTTGCAAACGCTCCAATCACTTATCGACATGTAAACGCACTAAACCGATTTCGCAGCGTTGACACATTGTCACCTTGAAACTTATTTAAACTGGGAACTGACATTTGTATTAATTTTGACACTGAATCAATTTGTGGCATTTCAAATCTTTATAAATCCTTTGGCCCCGCATACTGTAACTCAATAACTGTTTGTTTCAAAACAAAATTATTCATTTTACGAGTAGATAAAGGCAATTTTGGTATATAAAGATGCCCAAACAGTTAAATAGTCGGTGTAAGGAACTCGTGGCCTGGTTAATGCACTACTTTGAGCAAGAAAGGGACAACAACGGGCCTTTGTTGCCTTTAAATGCTGTTCAAGAGGTAGGTTACTAATAATTATATGTAATGTATATTAATAATAGTAAAATTTTATTTTTTGTAGCGTGTTGCTGCTGCTTTAAAAATTAGTTTAAGGACAGTTAGTCGTATTTCCGAGGGTGTGAAAAGTGATGCAAATTTAGAATCGCCCAAGAAAAAGCGGAGTTATATTAAACGTGTAACCAACACAGCGACATTGGATACAAGTGCCATTCGAGAAGTGATCTATAATAATGTATCACAAAAGTAAGATCGTATTATAATAACTTATCAGAAATTTGCATTAATTTGTTAACTAAATTATAATGTCATATTACACATGGTTTCAGAAGAACAATTTACGATACAAACTTTATGGTCTCGATTAAGAGATAGGGCATTATTTGATGGTAGTGCCACGTCTTTAAGGCGGTTGCTTAGAGATCTTGGATTTAAGTGGCTTAAGGACAATCCGCGACGAGGGCTCATGGAACTACCAAGTATAGCTTTGAAAAGGGTGGAATTTCTAAGGCAATACAATCAAGCCAAGGTTGAGGCCTTATACCAGTTTGTCTTCCTCGATGAAACTTGGATATTTCAAAATGGGACCATAGGTCGCTCTTGACAAAATGGAAACCAAAACAGCGTGAAAGCTATTAAAACAGATGGTAAAAGGTATGTACTTTTACACAATTTGCACTATAAAATTTAAAACTAATATATTTTAGATACATTATATTACATGCTGGAAATGAAAATGGGTTTATTGAGGGTAGTGAAGCGATATTTTCTTCGAAAACAAAATTGAGCGATTAGCATGGAGATATGAACCAGGACAATTTTTTGAAATGGTTTCAACATCAGTTATTAGAAAAATTGGAGAGTCCATCTATGATTATACTGGATAACGCCCCTTATCACAGCATGATATTGAACAAAGTGCCCAACAATGCATGGACAAAAAAAATATCCAAGACTGGTTGACAAATCAAAACATACCATTTTTAAACACAATGTTTAAAACAGAGCTATTGAGTATTGTTGCTCGGTACATAATGCTTCTTAATTATATATATTTTGGTCGACAGTTTATATTTCTTTTGTTTATTCCTATTCTTAAAATAACTGCTTTTTTAGAAACAAACCACCTAAAATATACGTGATTGATGAATTGGCGGAACAACATGGGCACAAAGTTCTTCGTCTGCCTCCTTACCATTGTATGTTTAACCCTATTGAGTTAATTTGGGGCATAGCAAAAGGTTACTATAACAGACATATTGGTAGAGATGGTAACAGTGAAAAAGACTGTTTGGATATGTGAAACGAGGCTCTACAAACGGTTACCCCAGACATGTGGAAAAATAGTGTTCGACATACTGAGCAAGAAATTTTTAAATGGTATGAAAGAGAACGGATTTTTGATCGACCAGACATCGAACCTTTAATAATCAACTTTGAGAGTGATGAAGATTCAGATTCAGACAGCGCTGAAGAAAGAAACTCCGACTAACTTTATTGTACAGAAAAAGCTTACACCAGTAGCTTACCTAATTTTAGAATGCATTTTTCTGTATGAATTCTGTAAAATAAATACCATGCATAAAATTTGGAGGACCCCATTTGGATTTTTATTCAGTACCTTTAAGCTATCAATTAAATATGGTAGTTTCATGGTGTCATCTGATCAATAATTGTCATACTTAATGATTATGCAAGTACAGATCTATAATTTTATTATACTATTATTTTTTTTTTCTCATTTGAGGTTAATATTGCTTATAAACCTAGATATGTAAATAATAAATTTTATTATTTTACAAAAAGTTTGGCAACAATGTAAATTTTTCAACACACCCACCTTGATGACGTGCACGCCACTTTGTTTGGCGTTGACTATATACTCGTTACTCTGGATACCTCTGAGTAACGAGTACTCGAGTAACGAATATTTATTTTTTAACACCTTACTACACGTGATGACGGAATAAATCTACAACATTGACATCATTTTTCTCGACGATAGTTTGTAGTACCCTTGATCATGGGGTATAAATAACGAAATATAATTATAGTCTTTGTTCTAATCGGTTCTACATGAGATTTCCAAGTTAGACTTGCGTCGATTGTTAGTCCTGAATATTTTGCTTGATATGCTCATGGAATTATTTAGTTACAAATAATTATTTCGGCTTGTAATCATTGTTGTCTTTTAGTGACTAAAACTGACTGGGTTTTCCCAGCGTTCAATCTAATTCTCCAATGGAGACACCAATCCTGAAGCTGCTCTACAGTCTCTTGCAGTCTGTCTCCAATTTTTCTATTGTCTAAATTGTTTACTGGTCGTAATAGTGGCTTCTTGAAGGGCAGATTGTACAGAATTTGTCCAATGAACAAGCAACGAATCCATATCGGTAAGGGAAATTTTTCCCAATCTATTCTCCGAACTAGAGCGTCCTCATTTCCAACATTTTTTGTCCCTACTTCAGGAATTAAAGGCAGGTGGTCACTATGATCATGCGATATTTTTGTTTCAATGTGATAGGTGCAGTTCCTGGATATGGGAAAATCGATAATGTCGAAATTCATTATTATAAAAATATATCAAAAATTAAAAAATTATTTTATATTAGGTATCTCTGGCTTTTCTGGTTAGGTTGTATAACGATAAGATTTAAATAGTCTTTAACCCGAAGATCACTAGAATCTACATTCATTTCTTTGCATTTTGCATAACAGCACAAAGCATTGGGGGTTGACTTGATTTTATATTGACCTGTTGCAAATTTCCAGTGAGAAGTTAGGCAATGCATTATACTTTGCGTGTTGTGCAAAATGCAAAGAAATTAATCTAGACGAGTGGTCAACCCTGTTTGGCGCGAGGATTTACATAAGGCTTCTCGAGTTTATTTTTATATACACCTATAGGCTTCGCAACGGGTGTTTGTTTCATTCTTAATATTCATTCTTTAGTGAACATTACTCATGATTTTGTACTTTGTTTATTGATTTACGTCTACATTAGTAATACGTTTTACGTGTATGTTTCATAAACCACTGAATTTAAGTGAGTGAAAAATAAAAAGAAGGTAGGTGAAATTATATTTCTAATAAATTTGGTTTTTATAGATCCAAGGAAACGAGACCGAGTACAACAAATGAATTAGAGTCCACTTCTGATTCGGTTAATTCCGTATCCAGTAAGATCCAGAATACCAACCAACCTCAAAAGAAAATAATATGTTTCCAAAAATACAAGGCTGAATGGGAGCAGCATGAAAATTTTAAGAACTGGGTGCAGCCAAGTTCCCGTAGAAGCTATTTTTTCCACTGCAAGGTTTGCAATTATGATTATTTAGGCGGCATAGGAGCTTTAAAAAAACATGGATATTCAAAAAACCATATAAAAAATAAACAACCAACTTTGTCAAAAAAAGTTATTTCAAATTTCTTCTGGTAATATAGTAAAACAGAATGAAATTAAAATTGCAGCTTTTTGCAGAGCATAATATCGCAATAAATGTGTCAGATCATCTTAACGAACTTATAAAATCTATTTGTTTGTCTGGAATGGGGAGTAGCCAAGCGAAAAAAATGGCTGTAGGCCGAATTAAATGTACGGCAATCGTAAACAATGTATTAGGGAAAATAAGTTTAGAAAATCTTGTTAGTGACCTAAATTGCCATAAAATTTCATTATTAGATGACTAATCGACAGATTTGTCATCCGAAAAACATTTAGCAATTGTTTTCCGGTACAATAAAAATATGTCATCAACTGAAAGTATAGGTACTCTGGCTAATAGGTTTCTAAATATAGTTAAGGACATTAACAATTTAGATAAAGAATTTGGCCAGTTGAAGTTTTCGGAATGTAATTCTTCGCTTGGTGAAATTCAATTCTGGAAAAACATAAGCAATATCAAAAAGGGGATGATAGTCTCGCATACCCAGAGCTTGCCAATTTTGTTTAAATTTTATTTACATTGCCACATACGAGTAGAGGCGCAAGTGTGAAAAAATTATTGTTTTACATTAATTTAAACAAATCCAAATTGCGTAATCGACTGGGTGCTACGACAATAAGTGGAATTTTGCACAGCAAAAGACTAATTAATGTCTAAGATTAAAGCTGCTTTAATTTTTCAATTTCAAGGGACATGATAAAAAAACATAATAATAACATGTACTCCAAAGAATGTCATTCTTTTTAAATTTGTTTATTTTAATGCAGTCTTAAATAATATAACTTATTTAAAACTATTATTATTAATTTCGTTTCTATTGTTACGTTTTTAAGCTTTGAAATATATTTGGTGTTTTGTTACTTTTGTCTGATGGTTTTGTATTTGTGGCTTCTTTTAAGAGTGTGTTCAAATTTACGTTTTTGTTGTTTGTTTTAAGAGTGTTTTAGGAGTCTTTTCACATAATAATATGTACTCGAAAGAAAGTCATTCTTTTTTAAATTAATGTAGTTTTAAGTAAGTTATATTTAATTTCATGTTTATTGTTACGTTTTTATAAGCTTTCAAATATATTTGGTGTTTTATTACTTGTGTCTGCTTATATTTATGGTTTCTTTTAAGTGTCTGTTCCAGTGTACGTTTTTGTTGTTTTTTTTTAAAGCAAGCCTCAAAAATTAAAAATATTTTATTAATTACCTCTATATATAAAAAATATATAAAAAATATATAAAAAATATATAAAAAATATATAAAAAATATATAAAAAATATATAAAAAATATATAAAAAAATCTAGTGATTTTTTATTCAGTCTAGCGGTTTTTTAGCAAAATTTCTAGTGATTTTTATTTTTTGAATCTGGCAACATTGCAGTCATCATTGACGTAAAAATCACGTGGGATCAACTGAGGCCTGACAAGGCGCAACACAGGAAGAAATCTGGCAACGTTTTTCGTGGTGAAAAAACAGCCGGCAACACGGTCAATATTGATAGTGTCACTTGTCTTGATAGTGTCACTTGTCTTTCATACGTCTTTCTTCAACGTCACCGCTGTCAAGCTGCCATTTTTCCTTTACCGCTAAAAATGTGCCGACGTGTCGAGTGGCTTGGAACAATGCTGATCCGAAATAATTATAATAGCTGATGTGATAATGAAATAGAGCATTTTTTTATATTTATTGGAATTTAGAGTATGTCATCAAACCCTTAATTAAGCATGCGTTTATGTTCACCTTGAAAAAAAAACCTGAGTAAAATTTTCTCACTCCACTCGGTTCCTCTGTGCCTACATTATTTTTTTATAAATTGTGTGTTTCAAGAAATGATTTTCAATATTTTCAGTTCCAGTTTCTGTCACCCTTGTTTCAAGATTGGAGTGGGTAAAAAAAATACAGGTGAGTACCTACATGACATTGATTCTGATATTGTGAAGTTTGCTCAGGGCATTTATTATGTTTCACTTAAATCTTTTTGATACTACTATGGCAAAAACAAGCAAGAAATAGACACGACAGTGCCTATATCCTTATTGCCAAAATAAATACATATTGAATGTAAATCATTCATATCCCCCATCCAAGAAATTTCATCGATTCCCAAAAAATCCCAGTCAAAGGCAATAATTATGATTAATTCACGTTTGAACTGTCTTGCAGTTCCAAAAGATGTTGATGGTCAAATTCGAAGTCAATCCATTAGTCATTCTGATATTGCAGTTTCATTGAAGAAATGCTGTGTTGGTTTCTCAGCAAGCATTTGTGATTCTCCTTCAACTTCGGCAGCAAGCCATGTAAATTGCCTGCCAAAAGAAGTACCAAAGACATGACAGAAAAAAATAATTTTTGTTATTAGGAAAACCATTCAAAACAATCAAATAAAGATGTCAATGAGTGACAGATGTGGTGAGAAAGTAGGCAACCATGAGAGCACCGCCCTATGTCATTGTAAGAAACATGGCGGCATATGTCATTCGTGGAATTGTTCTGAGTAGGCTGGCGTTGTTTCTGTGTCATATTTGTTCTTTCACCACGAAAACATGGCGACATTCGTGTTGCTGGTTGAATTACACTGATTTAGCATTCTTTCAGTGTATATTTTTTGATAAAAATAACCTAACTTTTTCATGAATTTGAATATTTTAATTGATGGAATATTTATAAAAGAAACGTATAAAACATGTTATGATATCAACCATCGGAAATGTAAAATTCAGATAAATGTGTATGAAAATTAAGGATAATGTATTATAGAATAATTTATAGAAGTTGTACATTGTCGGGATTGAAGGGATGGCAAAGAGATTTGAAGCTGGTGAATTTAGCTAGCAGTTCCTTATTATCAAAAGCACCATGGAGAAATTGCTATACTACAAGTAGTGCGAAAAATGTAGAAGAGAAACCAAAGAAAACTATAGCTGTAAGACTTGTTAACGGAGCACCAAAATGTGTACAGCCTTATATGAGTCTGATGAGAATGGATAAACCAATAGGCTCGTGGCTGCTCTTTTGGCCATGTAGTTGGAGTATTGCATCTGCAGCAGCCCCAGGTTAGAACAAATTACTGTTTTTGTAACAAATACAATACAATGAAATGCTAATACTATAGGTGAGGACATAACAACTGCCATATTTACAGTCATATCAATGATATGGGTGCCTGGGCGTACATGAGGCCCTAGTACTGTCTTCCATGGTAGAAAATCTCAGGACACTAAGATCATCTTTACTTATGAATGATTTGAAAGTTTTCTGAATAAAAATAGTGTCATGTGACAGAAACGTTTACAATACAGATTTTTTTAAACACATGATTTCAGTTAGCCATATGCCTATTTTCAAATAATGTTCCATATGTACAGGATGGCCATCTAAGAATGCGAGGTACTGTATCTGTGAACCTATCCATCTTGCAGCAAAAACAGTTATTACTAAAACAGCCAAGAGAAAATAGTTTCAAGTTTCTGAAATAACTGTGATTTTGAATCTTAAAAAGTGATGTTTCTGCAAATTTGCTAAATTAATCTAACAAAAAAAATACCTGATCTTTAAAGTCAAGGATGATGTGAACTTTCGGTTTCTGTATTTTCAAAATGGCTGAGTTGATTTTATCAAATTAGGCTAGTTGAAAAGAGCTATTCTTGGGCTTCAAATGTTATAATATTTGAAGCTTTGTTAGTTTTACATGTGCATTGTGGGCCTTTTTTAACAGAATTTTCTCAAGAAAATTACATTCATTAAATGCAGACACTTTCCACCCCCCAATCTTTATGAGAAGACAAACATACACATTGCTGCTTAGTACGCGGATTAATTTTGAGGTGCACTAAAATTGATTTTTGTCGAAGTTTTATTATAGTAGCTATTTTAATTACTGTCTCTGTTTTTTCAGGCACACTACCAGGTCTTTACATGTTAGGTCTATTCGGCGTAGGATCTTTTGTAATGAGAGGAGCAGGATGTACCATAAATGATATCTGGGACAGAGATATAGATGCCAAAGTAGAAAGAACCAAAAATAGGTAAAATGTAAGATAGTTTATCATTTTAAACAAATCTATTAATATTTATACTGTAGAAATACAATTGCCATAATGTCTAATGCATAAAAAATTAGAAGTTAATACATTTTAAGCAAAAGTGATTTATCCCGGCGCTGCAGTGCTGCTAACATGCATATTTTAAATGGAACATCCCTATATCCTTTACGCTATATTCCGTAAGACATTTCCAAAATAAGATGTAGATTTCAGTGAAAGCTCTCTAAAGTGCATTGGAAAAAAAAAACAGTTTTTCCATTTAGCTAAAAGTAAAAAACACATTGGGAAAATATACAGGGTATTCCATTTAAAAAATACAACTATTGAATTGCACTTTTCCGAGTATAAAAAAGGTATTTCATGTAAAAATCTACAGGGTGGCTCAACGAACGGGTCGCACCCCCATTTGTGATTCCTGGTATATTTTGGGAAAATCTCTCGGACGCATCCATTTTGATTTCTAGGGGACAATAGCCGTACAATACAGGGTGATCCAAAAATAAGATATTGCGTGTTACACTTTAGATTTTAAAATGGAAACCCTCATTTTTTTTAATTTTCAGATTTCCCATGTAGTTTTTAGTAACTTTTGTAAAATAAAGTTTATACCTATCTTCAATCGTTGTGAGGCTGAACGGTTCATCTTTACGAATGTCAACTCATCATTTTCTTAAATTCCAGCATCTACAGAATAACCCGTAATTTGTCTTTCGGCTACGATATGTAAACGGAACTCATACGCCCGGCTCTTAGGCTAATACCAATACTTATAATTCTTTCCACTGTTTTCGTGCCATAGTACCATTTGCGTAGATTAACTTCCCTAAGGAAAATTACACCCGGCGCAATCCAATTCAAGACGCAGCTGCTACCGGCTCTTGCACACACACGTGAATTGATATATAGAGGGCCGTTATTTTCAATTACTTTCTCAAAATACTTCTAATATAGACTGTCGACCGAGTAGGTGTATCTAGTTGTATCTTTAGCCATTACTATGTCAATCGTAGATTAACAATCACACGCCCATGACGAGCAAGTTGTCATACTGATAATGACAAACGTAAATGTGGAAGACTCGTAGGTGGACCAGAACATTTTCGTGGCAGTGAGAAAAAATAAAAAGCGTTTGTCTTTTTGTTTACACAACCAAACGATTGCGCATAGAGCGTGTATGTACAGGGTGGCCAACTAAGAATGCGAGGTATTGTATCCATCGTAGATGCTTACGGCAAAAACAGTTATTCCTAAAACGGCCAAGAGAAAAACGTCAAAAATATTTTCAAGTTTATGAAATGGCCGCTAGGGGGCGTAACTACAATCTTGAATCTAAAAAGTGATGTTTCTGTGAATTCCTCTATATTAACCTAACAAAAAACCTGATCGTTATAGTCGAGGATGATGTGTACTTTTTTTTGACAATTTTTCCTTAAAAACCACCACAACAAACTTGGGCTACATGAAAAGAGCTATTCCTGAGCTACAAATGTTATAATATTTGAAGTTTTGTTAGTTTCACATGTGGCCGCTAGCGGGCTTTTTCGACATTCCGCCAAATGGTTAATTTTTCCAAAAAAATTAATGCTTTTTTTCATGAAAAAGTAGCTAAATGATGTCTAAACGAGCTCGCGAAAACCGTACCTCTATATCTTGTTTCTAACGCAAAATTTAGGCAAAAGAAAATTTTATACGGAAATCCCTTAAATTTTATTTTTTTATCTTATTTTTTCTAGGATTTCTTTTTTTTATTAAGTTGTGGCCCTAAAAAGGCCGATTTAAAAAAGAAAGGATTCAGTGCCTCCGTGAATGCTCGAAATGCTGACCATCACGCTCTATGCATTCCTGAAGCATCTCGTGGGTAGACAAAACTGCTGCCTCAATTTCGGCTCTCGGCATAGCATTACGAATCCAGCTTTTCATATCTTCTCTGGTTGTAGGTTGAGTCTCAAACACGATGTCCTTTAATCCTTTCCAATCGGGAGCCGGTTATATTCGAAAGAAAAAGTAGTGTCTGGTATATGGGAAACGTATATTTACGCAGCGACAGAGGCCCCGGTTAACTACGGGAATCGTGTTGATAAGCACATCTGGGTATTTGTTTGTACCAAATACTATGCATACAAGCAAAAACTTTCGGTGGTAGGGGAACAGGCATGCAGAGAATTGTCGCACACGTGGCACCGTCAAGACAGGTTGCATCACGTTTATTTGACCATTATTCTTTGAGCGCGAGTACTGATACTTTAGTTATTTTACGTTATATTATTTATCTTCGAAATGTCTCATAGTTAACCGATCAAGAATTTTTGGAAATATTACAAAATAGCGATTCTGAGGGCGATTTCGATGGCGACGCCGAGGAATGGGAAAGTATCCGATCAAGAAAATCGAAACGATTGTTGAACCAACTAATGCAGGGTGCTTCTCAAGTCGTGACCAAAAATGAAACATCATGCACAGCACCGCATTTTAAGGGGGTCTTCTATGTAATTTTTTTTTCATGAGGGCTTCATTAAAAAGATACGGGGTGTTGAAGTTTAAAAATAAAAAACATTCACTGAGAAGCAGTTCTTTCCCTGAAAATTTGAAATGCTCTACAATAACACCAGTTCCCAAAATAAAAAATTCTAAAAGATGCAGCGATATGAGACCAGTAAATGTGTTACCAGACATTGAAAAATTATTAGAGGCCATAGTGCATGACCAATTAATGCAGTTTATAGAAGAAAACAAAATTTTAGTGGAGGCGCAAGCAGGCTTTCGAAAAAAATATTCCACAGAAACAGCTTTCCAGTTGGTAACTGAGAATTGGAGAAGAGCCATAGACTCAGAAGAAGTTGTCATAGCAGTATTTTTGGATTTGAAGAGGGCATTTGAAACGATTGATAGAGATATTTTGTTAGGTAAATTGAAGGCATATGGTATAACAGGAAGTGTTTTAGATTGGTTTAGAAATTATTTGTCTAAAAGGATGCAAGTTACAAAAGTTAATGACACTATTTCATCAAAAATTGAAAATACGTTGGGTGTTCCACAGGGCAGTATCCTGGGACCACTTCTTTTTATTTTATACATAAATGATTTACCTGCCATAGTCAAAAAATGCAAAATTCAAATTTTCGCCGATGACACTATGATTTATATAAGTACTAAAAATATTCAGTCTGGTATCTCTTATATAAATGAAGACTTGAAGCTTGTCTCAAAATGGTTAGCATCTAACAGACTAAAATTAAATGCAAGTAAAACGAAAGCCTTGTTAATCGGAAAAAAACAATGTACAAATGTTCAACTGAATATTGATGGTGAAGATATTGAATTCGTAGAAAATTTTAAATACCTGGGAGTTTTTGTTGACTCTCGATTAATTTTTGATATTCATTATGAAAAAGTTATAAATAAGATTAGTAGTAAAGTGGGATATTTATCGAGAGTTTCTGGATGTCTGAGTTCATATAGCAGAAAAATTATCTATAATACCATCATTCTTCCAAATTTCTTGTACTGTTCGACTATTCTATATTTAGCAAATAATTCCATTTTTGAAAGACTGCAAATTTTACAAAATAAGTGCATGAGAATAATACTAAATAAAGATAAATATACTCCAATTAGGCAAATGCTTAGCAAATTAAAATGGCTCAATGTAAAAAAATTTATCAAATATCTTGTAATGATATTCATTTATAAAGTAAAAAATAATATATTTCCATCAAGTCTAACTAATTTAACATCATCAAATGTCGACCATCATCTACATAATACCAGAAATAAAGATGACTTCCATTTAATGACCAAAAAGTATAACATATGCTACAAATCTGTATTCCATCAAGGGTTGATTGAATATAATAAATTATACTCGGAGATAAAAGACCAGAAAACTTTGACAAAATTTAAAGTAAAATTGAGAAATCACTTGTTAAATCTACAATTATAGGTTGCCCAGCATTTACATCATACACCATATGGCTTGAATTTACTAGTTCTAAGTTGTTTACAATTGTTCTGTTTATGTAGCCAAATGTGCTAAATAAATCTTTCTACTACTACTAGTATCTTCAAAACCGTCAACTGGAATAAACAAAAAATTTGGTATGTGGATTTACCTAAGTAACTTCCACATTCAAAAGTTTTTACTAAGAATTAACGAGCACCAGTGGCGGAGATACAGGGGCATTATTTTTCCAAATAAAAATAGTACGCCACTGTGCAAATGTGCAATGGCGAAGAAGTGCAACACTGTGTTAAAATTTTAAACGTTCCATTTGCATTTGTTTATCCAGATTTTGTTACTTACGTTACGTTTTTGTTATTTACATTATATTTATTTGCATTTTTGAATAACATCTTTGTATGAAAATGTCTTTGTAAATAAAAAGGGTTTTTTATATTATCGCTATTTCATTAAAGAATAGAATAAAAAATACAAAGACGTATAGTAATTATATATATAAATAAATATAGAGGAAAGCGGATAGATCAGCGCGTCATAAAATGGTGATTTGGCGCTCCAAATCCGGGTGCCACGCCTTTTTTATAAATGTGAAGAAATGGTGGTGTGATTCCTCTTTTCTTTTTTTTGTTTAAATATATTAATTAAGAGCGCCAGTGACTCAAGACGGATTACGCCACATATCCCCAAGTTTTTAGTCGGAACTTGTTTTGCTTGACCACGACACAAAGAAAAAAAATCTAATACTAATGATGAATCCTAATTAACAGTATACAGAGAGCCAAATAAAACAAGATATCTAAAAAAAAAGAATCAAAATATATTGCCAAAACAAGCAGCACATATGCTTCACCACTGAAATGCAAGTTAAAAGAAAAGATGTATATATAAAAACTACCTGACAGTAAAATTAATAGACCGTTTACCATGGTACACGTACGAAGGCTTTACAAATGTAGGCCTTACAAATATTTCAACGCCTAAACCTGAACTTATCTGGACAACGGTCTTATCTGGATAATGGCCTTCTTCCACTTACAGTTCTCGGTACAACTGAGATGTCCACAGCTCTCAAAAACTCAGGTCAAAAATCAGTCGCCAGAAGTGAGCAGTGACGTAAGGAACGTCACAAGGTAGGGGCTGCTTGCCTCGTTCTCGAAATTTATGGTATAAAAAAAATCCTGTTCACATCAGGATTTGTATAAAGGGAAAGAGATGGCTTGCAACAAAATCGGCTGCGAAATAGCTACAAGGCAGCTACAAAACAAAGCTGGAGAAGTGTGAATGGTGGTTCTCCACGGTGGCATTCCACTACAAGGAATCAGATATTGAACAAACTTCTTCAGGACACGCATTAATGGACATAGTCCGAGGGTATACAAAATAGAACTTACCCTGGAGGTTAAAATCCCATAAGAAAAATGGACGGGTGGTAGTACCCAAACAACATAACTAAACGTAAGGTACAAAATAAAAGGGTACTACTCCATAAACTGGTGCTTGGGGCCTCAATATTCCGAAATCTGGAAGTTAACGAAAAAAAAAACGCCCGCACACAACCAAAATCACAGCGGTAAAAAAATGGCGCTGGTCCGTCTGCGCACGCATCCTCCTAAAAGAAGGTTGAATAAGTGGCCCTGAAAAAAAAAACGTTCGATAGAACATCAAAAGGAACAGATAAAAGCCGGTAAAGAAGGTATATTGATAGGAAGGTAAACATTCATATGGCTAGTACGTGTAAACATCATACGATGGCGCGCTGGTTGCAGATGAGCAGATGTGTCTACGAGAGACCAACAATATTTTATGAGGAAATTTCTCAGATAGAAGAAAGATTTCAATACAATACTGAGTCGCTAAGAATGGCAGAAATAAAACTTGTGAAATTCTACAATCAATAAACTATGGAATTTGACAAAATAAAATCATTAAAAAGGGTTTGGCCTATAATCAATAAAGATAAATTTAAATTACTCATAAGTGGTCAAAATAGTAAAAAGAAAGGTTACGTGATTTTGGCACGTGACACGGGAAGCGGATAAATCAGCAAACGGCGTTTTCGTAACAAGATCCTCCGTTGCGAAGGGGTTAACCGTCTCCATAAATAAAAATCAAGACAAGTTAAGTCTGGTGATTGCGAAGGCTACGGAAATCGACTTATTCTTCCAATCCACCGCTGTTAGAATACTGCATTAATATGCTCTCGCACAATAATAGCAAAATGTGCTGGGCAACCATCCAACTCCAAAAGCAAGTTTTGTCGTGTTTGGTCGTATGGCCCGATAATTCTGACTCTCAGTATGCCACATTTAAACTCTAACGCCCTTGATGCTGAACTTCACGCACTTAATTCGGATTTTGTTTGAATAAAAGTTCTTTATTTTCGCGTATAATGCCTAACATCCAATGGCAATAGTCCAACCTCTGATCAAAGTCTTCCTCTTTCAAGGTCTGCTGCAAAACGACATGATAAGGGTGCAAATAAGTTCAATCTAAATAAACCCCTACATTTTGATGACCATTAGAACTTACGTATGGTCCTTCAAAATATTTTGAACCGTTGTACGTGACATGCCCAACTCAAGTGATAATGCCCTTGTTCTAACATGAGGATTTCCTTCAATATACCCCAGTACGTGGTCAATATTTTCTTGTTTTCTTCCAATTCTTTGCCGATGAAACGTAGGCCGAAAACTACCATTGGCTCGTAAGGTCGCCACTAATCGGGGAAAAACTCTCCCATGGCGAAGACGCCGACTTGGATATCGAGTCACGTAAAATTTGATTCTGCACCATTCTGAAGACATTCAAAATAAACTGCAAGCTTATCTCAGCAAATTCACCGTTCGTAAACATTTGGTAAGCACAAAAATTGCTCAAAGTAACGCGAAACTGTTGGCAACTATTGACAATTTGAGAATTAATGTTTTAAATTAGGTATTTGTTTTGTTGTGTCTCATGGCCTGTTTCTATTAATTGTCTTTTTCGTATATGCCGATAGTGAATATGCATTTAAACAAAATATATGCCTTTTGTTATTAGCATTACTTACCTTTTAGCGGTATTTTGTAATATTTTTAAAGATGGTGACTTTATTGTGATGAATAAAGAATTCCAGAAAAATTAAAAAAGCAAAAATTTGAGGGATTTCCGTATAACATTTTCCTTGGCCTAAATTTTAGGTTAGCCTGTTTTTAATAAAAATAATATTTTTTTTTTGAGAAAATTAACCATTTCTGTCAGAATATTATAAAAAGTTTGTCAAAAGTGGCTCAGCCGTTTCGAAGATACATGGTGTTTTTACGGAAACCTTTGAATACCCCCACCACTTTATTTTTAGAGATACAACAAAAATTATCAATCAAAAAGTTCACATTATCCTCGACTCAGGTTAATATACCGACATTCACAGAAACTTCACTTTTTTAGATTCGAGATTGCAGTTACGCCCCCTGGCGGCCATGTCAGAAACTTGAAAATATTTTCCATGTTTTTCTCTTGGCCGTTTTAGCAATAATTGCTTGTGCCGCAAGCCTCTACGATTTATAGGTTCGCACATACAGTACCTCACATTTTTAGTTGGCTATGCTGAATATAATTTCTGTAGTTTTAATTTGACCGCGAAGAAACCTATAGGTAGTTTTATATTGGATATTTTGCTCACGTCTATGAAAAGTTTTTGCTATTTTACAACAATAAAACATTTGGCTTTGATGATATACTTTATAATTATTTTACAGACCACTAGTCAATGGAGATATATCCATTAAACAAGCCCTGGCTTTTTTAGCAGGACAACTTAGTATAGGACTGGCGATTTTGCTACAACTGAACTGGCCTAGTGTCATATTGGGTGCAAGTTCCTTGGGATTAGTTGTTGCTTATCCTTTGATGAAGAGGATTACATATTGGCCGCAAGTTGTCCTAGGGTAGGTATACTGAATTTGTTGGCAACTATCAATTATATTTGAATCTTACAGATATGTAACCTGTAAAGTTATGGATAGATCGATGACAGCCAAATGATGGATGACCTCAATAACTATCGAGTTAGCCCCTTATGCAGGGTGGCCCAACGAAAAGGTCGCACTCCTATTTGTGACACTCCTGGTATATTTTGGGAAAAACGATGGGGCACGTCAATTTTGATTTCCAGGGGGACGTCTTTTCATCTACAGCCGTACAATATAGGGTGATCCAAATATAAGATATTGCGTTACACTTTAGATTTTTAAATGGAAACCCCCATTTTTGTAGTTTTTATATTTACCATAAAGTTTTCAGTAACTTTAGAATAATAAAGTTTATAGCTATATTCAATCGTTGTGAAGCTATTTGAGTTTATAATAAAGTTCGACTAACTTAACTTAATACTGATAATAATGGAATGCATGGAAAAAATAATAATCATGGATACCAGAAAGAACATTCAGCATCAGTCAGTATCCATCGTATGTCAAAGAAAAACTTTATTTTTCATTTCAAATTGTTAAGTTGCCTACCTAGTTGTGATAAATATTGAACAATGTCTTATTCAGTTCAAGAAAAGGTAGACATAACAAAACTGTATTACCAAAATGGGAGCATTGCAAGAGCTACTGCCCGGTTGTTTAATACGTTACATGAAGACAAAAATATTAACGATAAGTGTATGGTTAAGTTTATAAGAAAATTTGAAGAAACTGGATCTGTGTCTAATATTCGCCTTGATCGCCAACGAGAAAATCGACCAGTTAAAAATGAAGCCGCAGAAATAGGAGTTTTGGGACGAGTAGCACTTGACAACACCCAAAGCACTCGCGAACTGGCTTCTTTTTCAGGACTTACACGCTCAACAATACAAAGAATTTTGAAAGACAATGAATTTCACCCGTACAAGATAAAACTTGTCCACCAACTTAACGAAGAGGATTTTGATTTTGCGAATTAATGTCCCAACGTTTAACCAACAATGCAAATCTGTTATTTAATATTTGTTTCGTTCTATTTACATGGTGATGTAAATAGACATAATTGCCAATATTGGAGTGACTCGAATCCACATTTGTTTCGAGAGGTACACTCGCAATATCCTGAAAAAATAAATGTGTGGAATTTTCGGAAATCGTTTTGTAGGACCTTTCTTTATTCGTGGAAACTTGACGGGCAATAGAGCCACGAATTACCGAAATAATGGTAAATGATGTTAATTATAATAAAGATTACATTCATTTCCAACAAGAAAAACATTACGATATTGAGTGGCCGCTAAGAGCTCTGGAGCTAAGTCCTTTAGATTACTTCCTTTGGGGGCATTTGAAAATTGAAGTTTTTAGCAGGAGGTCGGATTCCATCCAAGATCTTTGCCAGCGGATTACGGCTGAATGTAGACAAAACTCAAGAGATGCTTGAAAATGCGAATAATAGATTTGAACAAAATCTTAGCTATTGCATGGAGGTAAATGGACACCACTTTCCGCAGTTATTATCACATTGACCTACCTCTTTATAACAAACTAATTTTTACTTTAACTTTAATGTGCGTGTAAACTATAAGTTTGTTTAATACTCGGAGACTTGTTTTTAATTTTAAAGTAAAGTCTTGTTACTATGAGAACTATATTGATTATTATTTTTACGATATAATCCCTTATTATCACAATTTCTAGAATTTTATTATAAACCCATACAGTTTCACAACGATTGAAGATAGGTATAAACTTTATTATACAAAAGTTATTGATAATTCCATGGTGTGTATAGAGATGACTAAAAAAACAATATTTTCATTTTTCTTGTCAAAAAATGCATTTTTTATGCATTTCATTGTGCATTCTTTCTTCAATCGGAACTTGTTAACAAATATAAGTACAGCTTCGAAATTGTGAGTGAATATTCCCCGTTTATGGGAGAATGAACCGAGTGATTACTTTTGTTATCACTTTTCCTTTTCGAAAAATCTTTGATTTTCTTGAAGCCTCGTCTCGCAGCAAGTTGAGTTTTCAAGGTAAAAGCAAAGATTTTTCGAAAAGGAAAAGTGATAAGAACAAAAGTAATCACTCGTTTCATTCTTCCATAAAAGAGGACACACACAATTTCAGACCTGTACTTACATATATTGGTTAACAAGTTTTTTTGGGAAAAAAAAGAAAATATTGTTTCTTAGTCATTTCTATACACACCATGAAATTATCAGATGAAAAGGATTTTCTGCTGCAAACAGGAAGGTGAAAAAATCTAAAAAAAAGGTACAGTTGTATTCATAAAAAAAGCGTACACGAATTAGAATGAGAGGAAACCTTAACCTTATTTGGGTAAAACCGGCTTATCGCATGTTAAAGGTTATTAAAAATGCAAAGCATGGGCGTCGGGCATTAGTTCAATACAGTAACAAAAATGTATTTCTTTATTTTACATCTTAACAGTTTTATAAAAATTACAATAGAAACAAAAAACGATTAACAAGAATAAATAAAATCTAATATTTGGTCATATATCCCTGTTTTTCTATTACTTGAGCCAGTCTATTCGGAATTGACTGAATTATATTTGATACAATATTTGGATCAAGCTCTTCCCAGCACGCATGTATTATTTCTCATAAATCTTCTGAATTTTGTGGCCTAAAATTTCGATTATATATTTTTTTTACGATTATACCCCAAATATTTTCGATTGGATTGATATCGGGACTATAAGCGACCCAAGGCAGCACTTCCACATTATGGGTTTGAAACCAGTGGGTTACAGCATTGGCCGTATGAACTTGAATATGTTGAAATATGAACGTATTATTGGGATATATTTGCTCAGCACTTGGTAACAATATGTTTTCTAAAATGTTAATGTAATTTCCGGCATTAAATCTTCCCTCTATTCGCCAGCAAACACCAGGTCCATGAACACTTATCCAGCCCCATACATTTACAGTGAAACGCCCAGGTCTAGAATTGAGGGGGTTAGTATATCGCTCTTCAAACCTGGTATTGTTTGGACGGTAAACACGAATTTGGCCGTTATAAGTCGACTAGAACGTCTTTTCATCAGTAAAAATGACCCTGTTCCAAAATTGAGGATTGCGGTATATATAATTTAAAGCAAAAATAATCCTTGATTGTCGCCGTTCTTCGTTAAGAAACATTTTTTTCGCAGCAGGGTGACATTTTAGTTCAGATTTCATTACTCTCCTGCTGGCGGTAGGTTGGGAGGCAGGAAATGATGTATCAATAACAGCATCCCTTACAGTTGCAAATGGATTATTTCTTAAATATCCCAAAAAAGCAGCATCCTGTTCAGGGTTGGTAAGTTTGGGACGACCTGAACCAATTTTCCTCTTTAGGGAATCTTCCTGTTCCCAGCGTTGCTTAATTTTCAATATGGTTTTTTTATTTCTATTATACAACTGCGCTACAGCACGGATTGCCCATCCTTCTTCGATTCTTGATACAATTTGAGCCTTTTCAACTTCAGACAGCTGACGAGGCATTTTTATTTTCTTCTGTCAAAGTTTATCAAACGTTACCACCACGCATTTTCGAAATGAATTACACCGACGTCAATGCTTTGCATTTTTGACAATCTACGACGTGTGATAACCTCCAATAAACAATCATTTAGACAAGCCGGTTTTACGCAAATAAGGTTAAGGTTTCCTCTCATTCTAATTCGTGTACGCTTTTTTTATGAATAGAACTGTACGTGCCACCTTAAAGTGTAACGCAATATATTATTTTTGGATCACCCTGTATTGTACGGATATAGTTGAGAAGGCCCCTCTTGAAATCAAAATTGACCTATCCGAGCGTTTTTCTAAAAATATACCAGGAGAGTCGCAAATGGGGGTGCGACCCTTTCGTTTGGCCATCTGTAGGTTCGGTAGTTCTCCGTTTAGAAAATACAGTATCAATTTCCAAAATATTTCTCTTGTTTCGTAAAAATCGTAGCCATGAGCTAATTTTTCTAGAAATTTAGCAGATACAGAGATATAGCTTATACCATATTCGTTCAAGAAAAACTATTAATTCCATAAATTATTATGGGCATTTAGATCGCTCTATTTAAATCAGATCAATTTTCTTCTACCTCTATGCTGACGACACTGCACTTGTCGCCCAGTCGTGTACTGGTGATCTGGTTCACGATGGGTTGCAGAATGCGGTGGACGAAGTTCTAGAGTGGGCGGAACGGTGGCTGATAAAAATTAATCATTCGAAAACGCAGGCATTTATTGTACCAAAAAACGTCGCAGCCCCCCAGCAGAGGTTTCTGTAGACGGAAATCGTGTACCATGGACAAATTCTGCCAAGTATCTCGGAGTCACCCTTGATATAGGCATGACCTGGCAGAAACATACAGCATCCATAAAAACAAAATTCCAAATTGCGTTTCGGCAACTATATCCTTTGTTATGTAGATCGTCCAAATTGAGTTTGATAAACAAAGGTCGACTATATAAAATGATTATTAGACCAGCCATTACTTATGCATGTGCGGCTTGGTGTTTTCTTGCCAAGACACACATGCAAAGTCTTCAAGTACTACAAAGCAGAACTTTGCGGACAATTTGCAATGCTCCATGGTTTGTCTCAATTGAGACACTACACAGAGACCTTGACATTCCTTACTTGAGGGATTATGTCAAGCTTCAGGCGCAGCGACGTTATAGTCAGGCGGAATCGCACAGCAACCCTCTGTTGCGTGACTCAGTGGACTACACAGTGGAGCAAGTTCGTAAACATTCAATGCCACGGCTCGCAGTGTAATCAAAAGTTATCGTGAATAAAATAGTAAACTCAAAATTACACTCTAACAAAACCGAATCAAAAAATTTGTTTAGTTGACCTCAAAATTAATCCGTGTACCAAGTCAAAAAGCCTAGGTGTTTCCTCTTAAACTAAGCATATCTGTTTTTCTTTGTTCTTCTTCTTTTTTCTTCTCTTTCCCTTTCTCTTTTTCCTTGGCTTTGTCTGGTTTCTGGGCAACCAGGACTGACAGATTCGACTAACGTACATCAGACAGTGACTAATGGGCAAAGGTCCTACGGACCGCCCAGACAAATAAATAGGGAGATATTGCAAACATCTGCCTTATTAGTGCAGACCTTATTTTGACATCTACGCATGCGCACATACAATTCTGTATCTATGAGGAATTAATAGGGATAAGGCACGTCCTTATTTAAGCTATAATAGGGGGAGCTTATTTAGGCGTTCTTATGTCACGACGATTCACGATCTAAGCAAATCGGGTGTCGTCGCAAGCCTATTTAACCTATAAATTTGTACTCTCAAAATTCAACGATTGCTGAAGCGTTTTGGTAACTATGAATATGGATAAAAAGAGAATAAGGTTCACGTATGACGACGAAATGATTTTGCTGCGTGAATTTATTGCACAAAACCCTATCCGTTCTCCTGAGAAGTGGGACTCAATCTTACAGAACTTGCGAGAGCTTACGGGAAAAGAATTTATTTTGAGAACAATAAAAAAGCATCTGAACCATCTTCTGGAGCTGTTCCTCAAAAAGGAGGTTAACAGCAAAGTCAAGTAAGTATAAGATAGCACACTGTACCTACATGTATTTTAATAACAAGAGAATGCTTAATGTAAGACTTGGTGAAACAACATTTGTGTTTGACAGGTCTGGCATAGAAGAAGTCTATAATGAAAGAGAACATATGCTCCAAGAAGCCAGCGAGTTAATGAAAGAGACCTGCTCAACTACACCAGCAAAAAAGAAAAAAGTGGAAAACAAAGCGAAAGATATGATTGAAAAGACACGCAATGAAAGAGAGGCTATGGCACTGCTGGCCTTTTCTGATGTGGATGACACTTTAATCGACCATGATTACGGTAAAATAACTATTCTAAACATTTTTTATACATATTACTATATTATCACAGTTTTAGGTGTTTGTGTTACAGTCGACGTTGACACAGAAAATAATAATAAGTCTGTACAAGATGTTGGAACTGCAAAACAGATATCTGTACAAGATGTTGGAACTGCAAAACAGATATCTGTACAAGATGTTGGAACTGCAAAACAGATATCTGTACAAGATGTTGGAACTGCAAAACAGATATCTGTACAAGATGTTGGAACTGCAAAACAGATATCAGGTAAAACAATGATTAGAATTACTGCTTGAATCTTCAGTAATAGAAACACTAAAACAGATCCACAGGTTATGGAGTATGACCAGTAAATAAAACCAGTGCTCGATATAAAATGTGTAGGTACTTATGTTATATACTTTGATAAAAGCCAGTGCAATGACTAACCTGTCAGTGAACTTCTTTTGTTTAGCACTGCGGTTTTATTTACAGGCCAGACTAACCAAATAGTGGATCCAGATGACTACAGCGTATATAGCATTGCCATGGCATCCCATTCAGAGGGCTACTACTAGATTAAGTAGTTTCTAGTATGTTATACATTACCTATAAAACAGAAAGCTCAAAACTACCTCTTACATTTCATGTTCAAGATTAAATACATTTGTTTATTGTTGCTGTTACTTACTTTTCGATCATTACAGCCCCCCGTACCAAAAGGATGAACAAAAGTAAAACATTGAGAAAAAATGGCCTTGATTACCTACGAGAAAAAGCGGAAATATCACGAGAAATAAGATCTGCAGAACTCAAGTTAGAAGAACAAAAAATGGATAATGAAAAAGAAAAAATTGCAAATGACAAAGCAAGACTTGCCTTGGAGTCTAAAAGGCTTGAGGCAGAAATTCAAGAAAAAAAACATAGGATAGAGTTAGAACAAAAGAAATCTGAGCAAGATGTCGCTGAAAGAAAAAACTTGAGTGACCTCATCAAAACACAACAAAAGCTTATTGAAGCATTACTGACAAAACTTGATAATAGATAATTTGCCATTAAAAAAATAATATACTGGCCTTATATTGAAATAATAATGTTGATGCTAAGGATGGTGAGCACAAACCAAGTTTGTTGCCGAAAATATATGAAATTGATTCTGCAACTGGTTCCATGTATGAACATAGTAAAACTGTGTAACTTCAGGATCAAACATATTTCATCCACAACTCCTGAAGAAGTTGATTTCATATATTTTCAGCAACATACTAATTTAGTTTTGAAATCTCTTATTGGGTGCTTGCTGCCCTTATGGTTGTAAAATAAATAAACATACATTCCAAACAAGCTTTATTGGTCTTACAAGTCTATAAAAAATTACAAATTATCATCAAGCGTTACAAGTTAGAAACAACCCAAAATTTAGATGTAAAAGATGGCTAGCGCCATCTAAATTTGCGCTAGAGATAGTTTCTTTGCAAGTTTCGTCAATGACGACGCAGGCAAAGCAGAAACCCCTTACGATTTCTGGTCGCTGACTCAGATGAATTGTACAGAGTACAGATACCCCGGTACCAACCAACAGTAGCCGGCCACCAGAGTCGTAACGCAAGGCGTTCACAGGACAAACTAACAATAGCATTTTCTGCAGAACATGCAATAATATAGTCTGATATACTCGTTTGCTTTCCATTGCAAAGAAACTAGTTCTAGCGAAATTTAGATGGCGCGAGCCATCTTTTACATTTACCGTCTTCCCGCTATTTGATAGACCACATTCGCTTGTTTACTTTCCATTTGTCCGCCTTCACGGCTGGACCTGATACAGACCTATACCATACTGATGAGGGCTAAAGAGCCCGAAACAGCGCTGTCTGCGGTTGGTCTTGGCTGCGGCGATGGAAAGCAAACGAGTATTTCAAACCCAAAATGTCCTCTATTTATCAGTGGCCTATGTAGGTCTCAAGTGAAGGTGGATTTGTATTGAAATACATAGCAGTCTGACTACTATACAGGCATGTATGGCAGTTAGTAAGTAGTACAGCCACCTTGTATAAAGCATCAACGTCTTGAAGTAGCATTTTTTGGTTTTTTGAAAAATCTACAAAGGCAAATTCTGATATGACTTTCTGAAAACCCCATTCTACTGCTATCCTTAGAACTTTCATAGCAGAATTGAAACTCTGCTGATGGGCAGGTAAATCTTCCATTCTGCCATGAAATGGGGTAAATAGCACATCACTCAGCCCATATCCTTGATCACCAAATAAAACAAATCGTCTTGTGTCAAAACATGTCTTTTGCACTAATTCTTCAGAGATACCTGACTCCCTAAATATTCTGGCATCATGCCTTCTTCCCGGATATGCGCCTTTCAAACTAACAATAATTCCATCAGGACAAATTATTGATTGGAATTTTATGCAGTGATACCTTTTGTGTCCTGAATAATACTCTTCTTGATTTTCAGAGGGTCGACAAATTTTCCTTGCTGTACCATCGATGAAACCCCAACAATTATTCATAGGTGCTCCTTTATTATGAATAGCCTACAAAAAGCACATTTCAGCATTTTATGAACCAACCATCACTTCAACTATATTACACAATACAATACCTGTGCATAATACTCCAACTTCTCCCTATTAAACCACTGCAATGAATTCAAATTGTTGAGAAGTACAGCATGCTCCTCCATAATCACACTTATCAATTTATTTATGATTTGTGACAAAGACTGAGTTGACAAGTGGAACATAGGGACCATATCACACAATCTGTTTGGATATGCCAGCCGTCTTAGTAGAATGCACAATGCTGTTAAACCTGAAAGAAGATAAATGGAACTTATACTGTGGTTTTCATGTTGATAGAATTCCAGCCTCTGGCAAGTGTTGTTTGAGTCAGAGGATGGAGTTCGATTGAAATGATGAACATATAGCAATAAATATTTAAACAAAATCATACCATCCACTTTATTACGTGTGATAGTGACAATTTCTGAAGGTATTCGTAAAACAGCCATCAGCCTATGAAGGTCAGACCTCTCAAATCGAAAATTTAGTCTTATTACTTCATCTGGCAAGTTTTCCAAGTTGAATTGTGCTGTATGAGTAATGCCTCTATCAATAAATATATTATGGAGGATGATATGTTCTATTTCCTCCTCATCTGCTCCTGCCAATATAACTGCTTCCAATTCAGCTTCCATTTTACAATCTCACTTCTCACACCTTTGGTAGAATTTCAACTACGAACCACCTATATTATGCAAGCAAAAACTGGAAGGAAAAGTGAGGTTAAGATAAACACCATCAAAGCGAACTGTCAAAATACGTTACATGTGCAATATCTCTAATTCCACTGTACTTATTTAGGTTCACCTAAATAATGCATACCCTTATTTAGGTCCATATGCAATATCTCTCTAATGACGAATAGTAGTATCAATTTTCTCCTTCGGAGGATTTGGATTTCTCTGCGTTTTCCAACAAAACCAGCTGACATATTTCGGCAAAAAAAATCGATAGGTATTTAAAAAAAGTTTGACATTTTGTATTTTTGAACCGAAACAGTATCGGAACTATATATTTATGAACTTTTCGTCTTGGTATCGACGGGTCATCAAGTTCGATCAAATACTTCATTAGCAACATATTATTATCTGAATAGTAGTAAAATTGATTAGTTTCCATAATATTCAAATAAGTTTACCTTCAAATCAATTCAAATCCTTTCTGTACTGTCATTTTTCTTATTGTCAGGTTTACATTCAATTGGGGTGCTCTTCTTGGATACAGTGCTGTACATGGTTATGTCGATCTACCTGTTTGCTTGCCCTTGTACTTAGCTGGTGTATGCTGGACCATCATTTACGATACAATTTACGCTCATCAAGATAGAATAGACGATTTGAGGTAAATAAAATTAGGCAAGGCTACACTTTAGCGCATGAAGACCGAAAAATGATATTTTCGTACAAGTTGCATCCTAACCTTTCATTTTAAAAGAAGAAATTATATATTTGCGATATGCGCTAAACCATACATTGTCTCAAGAAAGACAACGTCAATAAGGCGGAAATTACTCAAGCCTGAAAACTTCATTTCGAGAATTGCTGAACATGAAGCATAATGGAGGACAGCTTGAACATAAGTATTCATCTGTAGACCTGCCAAAGGATGAACCGCCATTGACTGAAGTTGCTTTGCGCACACGTTCAGGGTTCGATCAGTATATTTCTTTTATTTATCCATTTATACAGGGTGAGCATGTTTTTTTAGCAAAGTTTGGGGCTATGTCAGATTTTCAATGTTTGATCTTTGACATTTTTCTATGCATCTTTTTGATCTTTGGACTATCCTAAAATAAGGTGATATCTAAAAAGGGAATTTTTTGGAGTTTCCCTTGAGAATGGGTATTTTTTCTCGCACTGTTCCATAAAGTGAAATTTCTTGCGCCCGAAAAAAGATTGAAACATTCATAGAACGTTATTGCGTGCAGTAAAATTTTGCTACTCTGACATGTAATTTAAACTGAATTTATAAATTTTATTTGCCAATTAAACAGCTTACTGAACAAATCCAAGTTACTACTCTTAATATAGGGGTGTATTTCAGTGACAATAACAAAAGCATTTTTTGGTTTGGTAAGAAGTGCTAATAACTTGAAAATTTTTATTTTTCGAAATGATATGATGTTTTCCAACACTTGCTAGTCATCTTTAATCTGGAATTTTTTACCTTTCTCATTCAGCATTGGCGTACGAATCTTCATTGGAGAAGTTTTCCAATGTTTAAACGACATCAAAGAATTTATTGATTAATATTAACAATATGTAACATTTTAGAAAACAAAAATTTGAAGACCAGTTAAATACCTAAATTATTTGTTTAAGACAAAAACGAACTTTTTACAAAACAGCAACAGTTATTTTAAACAATATTGTTAGTACCTTGTAGGGCCACCCGATCACAGCCTGGCACCTTCGTGGCCTACTTTCCAGAAGGTTATTACGTTTTCCCACTCTTCTTGAATGGCCTCGCGACAGGACTTCCATTGTTTGAGGAGCTTTTTGTCTTGACCGCACTAAAAATATTAGTCGAGACCAACATGCTCAATTATGTTCAGGTCTGGAGACTTTGGTGGCAGAGGCAATAATGTAACATTATTTTCTACCAAAAAGCTTATAACCATACGAGCTCTTTGTGGCCTGACGTTATCATCGACGAAGACAAAATCCTCCCCAAAATCTTGTGCAAAAGGTACAATATTGTTTAAAATGTACCTATAAGCTGCTGCATTGAATATCCTGTTTGAAATAAAAAGTTCGGTTTTACCATTCTGCATAACCCCAGCCCAAACACTAATGCAGCCTCCATGAAACGCCTCTTGTGGAGCCATGTTTTCTCCATCACATCGTTCCCCAGCTTGTTTCGAAACAAGGACCCTACCAGTGGCGACGCGTTTTCCTAAACTGTTACCAAAAAAAGTTTATTTTGAAGTTTTTGTTTATTTTAGGTATTTTATTTAAACTATTTTTAAATTAAGGTAAACATTGCTGGACTGAGCGTCTGGGGCACTTGATATACCTCATCGTTTTACGCTATGACTAATCCAAGCCGTCCGAAAAAACAGTCGACGTTTCTAGATGTTCGGAAAATTTTTGATCTTTTTTGGCAATGAATGTTAACAATTCCCTGTAATTTCCTCTATTGTCAGAGTCATCCACATCAAAATGAACGGTAATTCCTGTTTTGCCAAAAAACATACGGTATCTAGAAGTGTGCTGCCTAAAAGCTTGGTTAAGACAACTTTCGATTCTTGTCTTGCCAAACTGAATTAAATTGGCTACACATCTCACATGTAACAGAGAAATTTCAGGTCTCCTCTTTAGAGCCCTAAAAATATTTAAATCGTTGACGCCGCTGCTGGTTCACCCATTTTTTTCTGTATAAAACAGAAGACATCGTCAACAATATATGTTTTTTTGCAACCACATAACCAAGAGTTTCCATATACCAACTTAGTTTAAAATATCAAACCACGTTTTTTTATTCCTTTTTAAAATCATCTAAAGTAGGTGTTGGTCTTCCATTTTCAATGATCTCATTTTTTTCTTGAAAATTATACACTTTTCACTTCAAGTAGTTGATCGATTACGCAGCGACACTCATCCATCTTTAATTGCACGCACACTACAGCTGGTAACCAAAACGGCTACTGACGAGTGAGAAGTGAGTAACCAAATCAAAAAATGGTAACAAGCCCACATAATAGTCGCAGCGTCCCACGCACTCGGGCGACCGCGATCAGACACGAACCGATAATACCGGCGCTCCCCGACGGACTACCAAGTGTATCCATAAATGAAAATGGTACCAACCAACAACCAAGTCGAGGCGAGTCAGCTTCATCGTGTTCGCAAAACCTAGACACTATAGGGCGCATTATTTTCGTGGAGATAATTTGCTATTTACTGAATTACTATTACATATCGCTGTTGGTAAACAAATAAGTGAAATTATTTCATAGTACTTAGTCATAAAATATTTATTTTTAAGATTTTTAACTGTTACCAATGGTAACAATGGTTACATGGACACTTCGCCACTGGACTCTACCATCAGAGTGGTATAGGTTGAAGCGTGTTTCACCGGAAAACATGCAATTTTGCCACTGCTGATGCCAATTTACCCGCTCCTGTGCCCATTGGTACCTGGCGACTCTATGATTGTTCAAGAGTCCGGTACACTTGGCGCGACGCCTTGTTCTGGAAGACATGCTACTTTAAAAAAGTACCTAGCAATTTTTTTATAACATTTACATACCTTAACGAATTAGAATATCAAAGTTCTTCTTATAGTACGACTGGATGCTATTATTCCACTGTGTCGCTGTAAGTTTTGACTCAAGGTTCTGGTTGAAAGGGTCCTCATTCGCCTTACTTCCTGCAATAAATGTCCTTCGACCCGGCCTACTATTGTTCTGCATTACCTACGCCTTAAACGGTATATTGAGGACCGATCAACATTATAAATTAAAGAAGCCACATCTTTCACTAAACGATTCTCTACTAATAATCGTTTTTGAGAAAATAAAATTATACTGTCAATATCATTGTTACTTAGCAATTGCATGTTTGAGGTATAGCTAGTTAGGATGAAACCGGAAAAAGGTCCTATTTGCTTGGAGAGGGTGGTCAAAAAAAAAATACGAGGTCGAGCTAAAGGACATTTGTTGCGGGAAGTTAAAAATCATTTGAGTTATAGCCAACTTTCGAAAAATTTGAGGTATCACTTTTTTTCGGATAGTCCAAAGATCAAAAAGATACGTAGAAAAATTTCCAAAGATCAAAAAATATATATATATATATATATATATACAGGGTGGCCCATCCATGTGTGGACGGAATATTACTCATAAACAAATACATTTTGGGAAAATCTATTTATGGGATGTTATACATGGCATTTGAGGGGACATTTGCAAAATATTGGCCATTATACAGGGTGTCCCAATTTCGACCTACATATCAAAGTTGTGATCTTTCAAATGTAATGACTGAAATTTTATTGCATATTTGGATAAACCAATTCAAAAGAAGAAAGTTGATATAACATACTATGGGGTTTTGGTTAATTAGCTACTGAGATATAAGGTGTCTAGAAAAACCCCCCACTTTGGCATCTCCTGAGTCTGCCATTTTGAAATTTGGAGTGCTGAATTTTGTATAAAAAAAACTTACACACCTCAGCTTTTTTTATTTTATGTCACTTTTTCGAATTTTAATTTTTGCTCATACATGGTGGCCGAAACCGCAAATTGTAGCTTTTCTCAAAAATTTCTGTATATTTGTTGTTTGGATTCAATTTTTATAAGCTCTTTTTGATACTAGACATGTAAGGCTTTTTACGGCTACTTTTTCGGTTATTAACACGTCTTTTATGGAACGGCTTAATTCCCTAAAATATCGCATCATCCTTGGAAACAAATAAATTGTTGATTAGTTACAAACTGTCAAAATTAGCTAGGTGAACATTATAACAACGTGTTTGGAAATGAATATTTCTAAAGAAGTAATGGTGAATATGGTGTTCGTTTTGGGCGAAGCCCAAAGGAATAGTTTCATAGCATCTCGCATTTATAAGCAACGGTACCCTAATATACGACATCCAAGGCCAGAAACATTTTCCATGCTACGAGAACGTTTTGTATCAAGTGGAGCAGTGGAATATAGTAAAAAATGTATAAATAATCCAAGTGTCACCAATGAGGCAAATCAGTTGTAGGTTCTATTAAAGTGGCAGGAAAATCCCCATTTAAGTGCATGGCAACTTGAAGCAGAAACTCATGTATGCAGAACTTCTGTCCAAAGGATTATTCACAAGCATAGGTACCATCCATATCATCTATGCTTGCATCAAGGCCTTCGTCCTCAGGATTTCACAGCTCGAATGGAGTTTAGTAGAATAATGCTAAATAAAGTGAGTGAAGACACTACTTTCCTGGATAAGGTTCTTTTCAGCGATGAGGCAACTTTTAACAGCATAGGTGTTGCCAACACTATTATGCGACGGAAAACCCTTACTGGGTTAGGCAAATAGATTTCCAAAATAAATGGAGCTTGAATGTTTGGGGAAGAGTTATTGGCAGACAAGTCATCGGGCCTTTCTTTTTCAACATCAGATTAACAGGTACAGAAGACTTGCAGTTTTTGATCGAGCATTTGCTTTTGCTTTATTAGGATTTCAACCTGCAAACTCGGATGCATATGTACTTCCAACATGACGGCGCACCTGCGCATCATCATAATCGTGTGCGTAACTATTTGGACACCTGGAGTAACAATCGTTGGATCGGTCGTGATAGGCCTATATCTTGGCCTCCTAGATCACCAGATATGACACCGATGGACTTGTTTCTATGGGGCTACGTTAAGCAAGAGGTTTATAGATATCCACTATCTACCGCGGAAAATATGAACTAAACGATTAAGGATGCTTTTCTGAACGTAAGGGAACACATGCTGAGGGATGTGCAACGGTCATTTATCCAAAGACTACGGCTGTGTATTCAACATGGTAGAGATATTTTCGAGCAGTTTTTGTAGATTAGGTCTTGAGAGGTGATAGTTGTTTGTTTATGTTGTTATAGTTGTTTTTCTCTATTATGCCTGAAGCCGATTTATACTGTTCTGATTGTTATTAGTATTTGTATCTGTACTCTTAGTGGCAATATGGAACTAGCCCACTGTTTGTCTTTTGTTTCCATGGATGATGTAATTTTTTTCCTTACTTTTGGTGTATTGTTCTACTAAAAGCTTAATAGTTCAAAATCTAGTGATTTATCTGAATCAAACCTTGTACAAAAAAGCTTATAAAAATTGAATCTAAAAATGCACAAATATACAAGGTGATGCATTTGAAAATTTTGAGAAAAAGGACAATTCGCGTTTTTGACCACCCTCTATGAGCAAAAATGAAAATTCAACAAAGTAAGAAATAAGATTAACGCTGAAGTGTGTAAGTTTTTATTTGATACAAAATTCAGCACTCCAAATTTCAAAATTGCGGATTAAGTGGACGGTTTTTCTGAACCAAAACACCTTACATCTCGGTAACTAATTACCAAAACCCCATAGTATGTTATATCAATCTTCTTCTTTTGAATTGTGCATTCATTTCGGGTCTGATGAAGCCAACCAGCAGAAATACGTATCGCTCGGGTTACCTATCCTATTTTCTGCTCGAATCCACTTTCCTCCTTTTTGCGCATTTTGCCCATCATTTTCCTACTTCTTGTTATATACCTTTCTCCGCATGATCATTTTCTCTTCGTTGATCCTTTGGCCTTGAAGTACTACAGCAAGTGGCTATAACCGGCCGCGTGGTTATGGTTAGATGTCGCCTTGAAAATTCGAGGTCTTCTGGCCATTTTATACTACAATGTGTAAGTTGGCTCTTGTTGGAGACTTCGTGTGTCACTTTTTCCCTCTCCATCTTCGTTTCCTCAGGTTGCACCCGTATCCGGATGTATGGGCATGTGTATCTTCTTTTGTGGTTGCATATGTGCATTCATTTCGGGCCTGATGAAGCCAACAAGCAGAGATACGTATTGCTCGGGTTACCTTTCCTATTTTCTGCTCGATTCCACTTTCCTCCTTTTTGCGGATTTTGCCCATTATTTTCATACTTTTTGTTATATACCTTTCTCCGCATGATCATTTTCTCTTTATATAGTTATATATATATATATATACTATATCTGTATAAGCGGATAAATTAAAGAACTGGTCGAACCCTGTACGTGTTCTGAATGAGTTGGTCAAGAACATCTCGAATACCGCAACTCGATATCTCTTTCCGTTCCGAAAATATCGAGATTTGAATTTGAGCAAAATGTTCCATGTTGCAAAGCAACGGTCCACCAGTTTATTAAGTCTTAACACAAATATGTCACTCGCTGATCAGCTGTTTAGTTAATAGGCCTGGAAAATAGTTTAACTTCATACTACCTCTCACATAGGTCGTTTGTTTTCTAGGTTAGGATTGAAATCAACGGCTATCAAATTCGAAAGCGATTCAAGAATTTGGTTGAGTGGTTTTGCTGTCACAATGATATCTTGCTTAATCTGTTCCGGTGCGATGAATCATCAAACTTTCCCGTACTATGTCAGTTTAGGCATGATCGCCGCCCATCTTGCCAATCAGATCAGAACTCTGGATATCAATAATGCAAACGACTGTCTCTTTAAGTTTATATCGAATAGTCGAATTGGTTTGATACTCTTCTTCGGCATTACCCTGGGGACATTATTGAAAGAATCTGAGGAAAATGTGGAACAGAGGTCAAAGAATGTTTTCGTCGCCTAGACGAATTAGTTGTGATATTTATACAAGTTTGTGAATGCTTATGAAATATATATGTACATAAATTCTTATGTTTTTACCGTTTTATTATACATACAATGGTTTTTCAAAAAGTGTCCCAATAATTTTTTGAACGGGTCAATTTAGCTAGCTTAAATTCAATATAATGAAATGGACTAATAATGACTACGTAAAAATGACAGTTCATACTTTCAAGATAGGGTTGGAACGTCATTCAAATGGAATGGGAGGTCATGCGAACATCATTTTAAATTCGTCATTAGACTTATAACTCTAGCGTATAAATACTGGCTTGGCGGTTAAATTTGAGCGTTTTTGTGAATTTAATCGCTTATAACTCAACGACAAATGCTCTATTTTTACAAATCGCGTTAATTATACCGGATGACAATGAAAATTGGAAACACGCTGTATTTTTTTGGCAAATAAAGATACCTCTCCAAGATTGGGACGTATTTAGTTACTCATTTAGAGACATTTCTGGAAAGTTGAATGGGTTATCTCTCCTTTCCGGTTTAACAGGAAGTGACCTTGACTTTCATTATTCAAATGGAAAACTGTATGTTTTGCCAGTTTAAAAAATTGTGTCTTGTAAGCAATTTCGCGGCTTTTAGGTTTTTCACAAACTCCTTTATGGAGCTGCCATTTTAAAACGAAAATGTGTCTTGTGACACATCGCTGGAAGGGAAATTTTGAATAGAGTACGATTATGAAAGCACATATACAGGTTTCAGTTGAAAAACGAAGGTCAAGGTCACTTTCGGTTAAACTGGAAGCGAGAGATAATCCGTTCATCTTCCCAGAAATGCGTCTTAATAACTAACTAAACATGTCCCAATCTTGGAGCGATATATTTATTTAACAAAAAATACGGCGTGTTTGCAATTTTCATTGTCACCCGGTATACGTAAATAGATACTTCCAAGAGAAGAAGATTGATATAATATAGCGTTTCTTTAAGTGGTTGTGGGGTTATAAGCGATTTAAAAAAGCCTGCCAGTCCGACATGTTAAGAGTCAGTGTTTTTTCTATCCTAGCGTTATAAAGTACCCATAAGGAACCTCACTGACATTTTATAATAAAATATAGTATTCATACAGTATAGCAATGATTTTTAAATGGTTTGCAACCATCAAATTTGGTCGATCAAACGAATTCTCCAACAAGGTAGCATAAGTTTTTTCGTAATTTGGTTACCTATTTCCAACTATCCCCAACTGTCAGAACATGCTATGAGTCGCACTGTCGATCAGGCTTTTAGCGTGAAATTGGAAGATTAGACACTTGTTATCAGGTTCACAGAAACGCAGGAAGGTATGCAAACGGCACTCTGCTCCTGCTATGATATAAGAAGGAAATTCAAATCCATAGGATTGATGCCACATCCGGTTTCTGCGATCCTGATATACAGGGTGTTCCAGAAGTCGTCGTCAAGCCGAAACCGGGTGATAGGCAAAGTCATAACAGCTATCAGAAAAATATTTAAAAAAATTTTATGTATGTGTTTTGAAAATTATAGGTCTTTGAAAAAGATATAGAAATTTCACACCCTACGGCAGCCTGTCAACTCCTGTTACTACAAATATTAACTATTTGGATTTTATTTTTACAATGTAATGATGAATAATGCATCTTCAAACTGGTGTCTCAACCTTACTGCCAACTTTTCTCGTTCAGGAAAAATTGCCACTTATTTCCCAACCAAGTATTCCAAAGTAAAACTTTGCTCAACTTTAACTGGCTGTACTGGAAAAAATGTACTACGAGAGTTTGGCAAGTAACCTTAAATGTTGGCGCATTTAATAACGATTCCAAAATGGTATAACACTTAGAAGATTACTCGTTAACTTATGCACAATTTTGTACATGATTTTTCAAAAAATCCAAATAAACTTCAGCAGTCAAAGTCTCTGGGAACTCAAACGGACCGATTATTTTATCATTTAAAATTCCTGTCCAATGGTTTATCTTGAAGCGATATTGAGATTCATCTTCTCTCATCAAATGTGGGTTTGCTACGTGCCACTCGTGTAAGTTATGCAGGTTCATGTACCCATCTTTCTTAAATGTGGTCTCATCCGACCATAAAATTTTTTCAAAGAACTGTGGATCTTTCCTGTGTCTTTCACATTGTGCGACAAAAAGCAACGCGGGGCTCATAATCCCAGGGCAGGAGAGGTTGAACACGCTGTATGTGGTATGGATGAAGCACATCACTTACTTGCTATTGCACACTTTGATACCGATCAGTACTCCTTCGTTTACTGCGCATCTTTACATGTTCGTGCTTGTTGATTTCGTACTGTTACTAATTTTGGATTCGTGAACTGAACTGTTGATCGCTTGTAATTTGGATTTGGACTGTTTAATTACTCTTCAAAACAACATTTGCTTTCCTTAGACTATCTTTGATAGTGTGATTGTGCAGTGCCGCTATGTCCGTGTACACCGTACAAGAATATGCTAACATGCACTTCATTTATGCGGAATGCAGATGCAACGCTAGTGCTGCAGCGAGACTTTACTGTGAGAGGTACCCGAATGCAGCTCGTCATCCAGATCATCGAGTGTTCACAAATGTGCACCGCTTACTGTTCTCAGAGGGCCAACTACCAAACCAATCACACGGTGAGGGAAGATCTTTCCTTCCTTATGAAGACGTGGTGCTAGGAGCTGCCGAAGAAGACCCGAGTACTTCAGTGCGTGCAATAGAACTAAAAACAGGTGTGCCCAAAAGTACAGCCCATAGAATCTTGCAAAAAAAACGTGCTCCATCCATACCACGTACAGCGTATTCAAGCTCTTCTGCCCCGGGATTATGAGCCCCGAGTTGCTTTTTGTCGCACAATGTTAGAAAGACACAGGGAAGATCCACGGTTCTTTGAAAAAATTTTATGGTCAGATGAGACCCCATTTAATAAAGATGGTACATGAACCTGCATAACTTACACGAGTGGCACGAAGCAAACTCACATTTGATGAGAGAAGATAAATCTCAATATCGCTTCAAGATAAACCATTGGACAGGAATTTTAAATGGTAAAATAATCGGTCCGTTTGAGTTCCCAGAGACTTTGACTGCTGAGGTTTATTTAGGTTTTTTGCAAAATCATTTAGAAAATTTATTGGAGGACGTGCCCCTGAGTATTTACAGGGACATGTGGTTTCAGCATGATGGCTGCCCAGCGCACTATGCACTCTCAGTGAGAGAGTATCTCGATCAAAACTTTCCAGGCAGATAGATAGGGCGGTCTGGTACAATACCGTGGCCAGCCCGGTCACCAGATTTGAATCCGTTAGATTTTTTTTACTGGGGAACTGTAAAAGAAAAAGTGTATTTCAAGCCGATTCAAAATGTAGCTGAGCTACGGCAAAGACTATTGGAAGCAGCTGAGTTTGTTAATAACCGTGGATTCGCTCGTTTAATAACCCGATCTTTTTTAAGAAGATGTCGAGCGTGTATTGCGGCTGAAGGAAAACAGTTTGAGCATTTGCTGTAAAGATAAATCATCATCAGCAGCATTTTGACGCCCATTGTTGTGCAAACAGTTATCCTTAAGGGTCCTTGTGCGTTTTCATAATCGCTGTTTAATTAGGAAATTTTGAAAAATTTTCATCAGTTTTTCTTCAAATAAAAATTGTGCATAAGTTAACGAGTAATCTTCTAAGTGTTATACCATTTTGGAATCCTTATTAAATGATCCAACTTTTAAGGTTACTTGCCAAACTCTCGTAGTACACTTTTTTCCAGTACAGCCAGCTAAAGTTGAGCAAAGTTTTACTTTGGAATACTTGGTTGGGAAATAAGTGGCAATTTTTCCTGAACAAGAAAAGTTGGCAGTTAGGTTGAGACACCAGTTTGAAGATGCATTATTCATCATTACATTGTAAAAATAAATTCAAAAAAAAGTTAATGTTTGTAGTAACAGGAGTTGACAGACTGCTGTAGGGTGTGAAATTTCTATATTTTTTTCAAAGACCTATAATTTTCAAAACATATACATAAAATTTTTTTAAATATTTTTCTGATAGCTGTTATGACTTTGCCTATCACCCGGTTTCGGCTTGACGTCGACTTCTGGGACACCCTGTATAGTTTATTCACTAAAACAAAGCAGTTACGACATATGTAGTACATTTGAATGCCAACCTTAATGCAAAATAAATCATAAATTGGTACAAATAGTTTGAATTTGCCGGGTACATTTATGTTGGTAACAGTTTTGTATTGTGACATTTTCGCAAAGCTTCCCAGGTAATTTCGCCAACGGCTGTTGTTTATTTGTGTTTTATTTCCGTTCTTTTCGCCTCAATATTTACATTGTGATTTTATAGAAACAGTTTCTTCATAACTTTGAGGTGTACTTTAAGCATTTTACTAAAATGCCGAAACCTCTGGGTCGACAAGCAAGAGAATTCGTTAGTTCTTTGACGAAATACGTTGAGGCCGAACGAGATCATGGAGCTCCATTATCGCCTTTACAGTCCGTAAGAGAGGTGTTAGGTAGTAAATAGAATTTATACTAGCTCTAGTGTTTACAAAACATACGCACCGTAATGTTGGTTGCGGTAAGGCATCGAAGACATAAAGTAGATTTTGTAAAACTTCCTACTATCGAGTATTTTTAATTAATGTGGTAACCATGTGCGTCACTGTCATTACTTGACGTTGTGACGTAACTACTTTGTACTAGAGGTCTATCGGTTTCTGAAAATCGCAGTGTCGACCAGACTTGCTATCCGGATGACAAAAACGCGAGGAAGTAGTGAATGGAATTCTACTTATGCTATGATGTTGAGGTGAAATTTTGATCTTTGGCATCAATGCTCCTAGTCGTTTCTACAATCTTAGTACAGATCTATAGGTTTCTGAATATCGTAATGTCGACCACAGCTTCTTCGCAAAATTGGTAGATTGGAGACTGATCATGTACTCTGCACCTGCTATTAGATAAACACGAAATTCAAATCAATGACATCGGTACCTCTTACCGTTTCTGCGATCCTGATGCAGATCTATAGATTTCTATAAAATCTCTCTGCCGACCAGACTTTTCTCGTAAAATTCGAGGACGGCAAGTTGCTATCAGGATCGCAAAAGGAGGTATATGAATAGTACTGTGCTCTACGAGTTTTGCATATAGAAACATAGTAGGCCGCGCGGATCGAACGTCAGTCTTTAGTAAACTTAAATTCAAAGTTTCACAACAATACGTGCAGTGTTCTCACCACAGTGAATTTTTAAGTGTCATCAAGTCATTATAAAAATGGAACTCAACCGAGAACATTTTCGCGCCATAATTTATTACAACTTTCAGAGACAATTACCGCAACAATAATGCCTTGCTGAGTTACTGTCTGTTTTCGGCAATGAAGCGCCACATCAGTCGACAATTTTCCGTTGATATGGAGAATTCAAACGTGGACGGGTGAGTCTTAGCGACGATCCCAGCGTGGGTGCACCAAACACGGCAGTCACTCAGGAAAACGTCGATGCTGTGCGCAAACTCATCATTGAAGATAGACATTTGACATATCGCGATTGAGGCGTCCTTGAAGATCTCAATGACCTCAATTCAAAAAAATTTACATGAAGAATTAGGAGTAAGAAAATTATTTTCTCGTTGGATACCCCACCTGTTGACTGAAGAGCAGAAAGGGTTAATTGGTGCCAAGAAACGCTTGACCGTTTCAATTCCGGAAACTCAAAAAATGTGTACAGCATTGTAAGTGGTGATGAATCATAGATGTACTGTTTTGAACCAGAAAATAAACGACTGGCGGCTGTTTGGGTGTTCCAAGGTGAAGAGAAGCCAACTAAAGTCATCCGTTCTCAAAGTGTTTCGAAAAAGATGGTCGCGATATTTGTGTCAAAAGCGGGTCATATTGCAACAATCCTCTTAATGAGCAAAGAACTGTTACTGCGGATTGGTATACCACCATTTGTTTGCCAAAAGTCATCACTGAGCTTCGAAAAATCAACCCCGAAAGAAGAACCATCCTCCACCAAGACAATGCAAGCTCGCACACAGCCCAAAAAACAAGGCAGTATTTAACGGAAGAAAACGTGGAATTATTGAACCATCCTCCATATAGTCCCGATCTAAGTCCTAACGATTCCTTTACTTTCCCGAAAATCAAAAACAGACTGCGTGGTCAAAGGTTCCAGTCACCAAAAGGAGCAGTTGACGCATTCAAAAATGCCGTTTTGGATCTGCCAGCAAACGAGTGGAATAAGTGCTTCGAAAATTGGTTCGAGCGCATGCAGATGTGTATTAATCAAACAAAAAACAATAAAGTCATTTAAAACTACCTACCGTGCTGTTTTATTTCCATATGCAAAACTTAAAAGACATCCCTCATATCTGTGATACTCCTTGGCATATATGCTTGTCGTGGTTTTTGCGATCCTGATGCAGATCTACGAGTTTCTTGAAAGTTACACTGCCGATCAGGCTTTTTCGTATTATCAGATTCATCTAAACGGGAAAAGGTACGCAAATGGTACTCTTCTTCTGCTATGAGATAAGCACGAAATTCAAATCCATCGCATCGATACATCTTGCCGTTTCTGCGATCCTGATAGAGATCTGCAGGTTTCTATAAATTGCTCTGTGGACCAGACTTTTCTCGTGAAATCGGTGGGCAGGGACTTGCTATCGGGATTACAGAACCGCGAGGAGGTATTCAAATAATACCCTTCTCCTGCTATGAGATAAGAACGAAATCCAAATCCATGGCATTAGTGCCTCTTACCGTTTCTGCGATCTTAATACAGATCTATAGGTTTCTAAAAATCCCACTCCACCAGACTTTTCTCGTAAAATTAGCGTACGACAAGTTGCTATCAGAATCGTAGTTTGTGCCTACTTGATTAAGATTTATGTGTCTTAAGGCTGTCCCGTCGATCAGGCTTTCTTCGTAAAGTTCGTAGATTGGACACTTGCTATTGGGTTCACAGAAACGCGAGAGGGTATGCAAATGGTACTCTGTTTTTGGTATGAGATAAGAACGAAATTCAAATCAATGGCATCGATATCTCTTTCCGTTTCTGCGATCCTGTTACAGTTCTATATTTTTCTGAAAATCGCATTGTCGACAGGACTTTTCTCGTAGAATTGGTGGTCAACGAGACAAAAACGCGAAACAGTATGTGAATGGTACTCTGCTCATCAGGGGCGGCTGGCCCTTAAGTTCTGCAGAGCTGCAGAACTGCCAAAACTTTTGTCTTAACAGAAAAAATCGGTAGTAATTTGATCATTATTTGTTTGCCATGTTATAACACAAATAGAAACAATACCGGCCACTCTGCCCCCGCAAGACACGGCGTCGAGTCTGTTTTGTATTGAAAAAGCATTATCATTGACCAATTGTGTACTTGTCATTTTCGTCGCGACCGCAGCGTAACATTATTCATGGGCCACTTGAAAAGGGTCTGTGCACAAATGCGCGATTTAAGCATAAGCATGTGCTGCACGTTATACAGATCCGTACAGATCTAATGCGAAGTACGATATCTGATTGGTCGGTCGGTGCTCGTATAAAATTTTGTGGAGCATTTTTATTGGCGCTACGGGGCCGCGACGAAACCGAGAGCTCCCAAAACTCGGGAATATTTCGTAAACTAATTTTTCTGCTGTTGACTGAGCTTGATACAACCTCAAGCGAACAGATAAAAAATGCTTCAGTATTTAAAGGAACTTCGAAAGAAATACAAAACGATCTACTGGATTGTATTCTTGAAGTTTGTCATGAAGAAATAATAAAACAGATTATCAGAGCCTCGTATTTGGCGATAATAGCAGATGAAACAACGGACATTTCGGGGAAAACCCAACTGGTAACAAGTTTCAGATACGTATTTAACGGCGAACCAGTAGCACGTTTTTGGAATTATATGAATCCCGAAAAATGTGACGCTGGTACTCTCACACGACATATTTTGAGCGTCGTAGATCCACTAATAGGAAATTTCCCTAACAAACTGATTTCACAAAGCTATGATGGAGCCGCGGTAAGGAGCGGACATAATGCTGGAGTACAGGCAAAAATTAAACAAAGATATCCATTTGCTCACTATGTGCATTGCTATGCGCATCAGTTAAACCTGATTATGTCCCAAGCTGCTTCCGCAAATGCTCAAGTTGTTCTTTGGGGATTTGAAAGATATTCCGGGATTTTTTAATAATTCTCCTCAACGCGTAGAGGTACTGAACAGAATTGTGGGGAAAAAAAATTCCCCAAGGAGTAACAACTCGTTGGAATTTTAATATTCGAACAATAAATGTAGTGTTTGAAAACAGAGAATCACTCATTGAATGCATGGAAGAAATAGAAGAAAATTTCACTAATGAAACCGTTTGCAAGGCAGCTTGCGGTATTCGCCTTATGTTAAACGATTCTGTTTTCATGTTTTGGTTGACATTTTTTCATCATGTCATGCGTCGACATCTTGTTCAACCAGTTGCAGAAGTGAAAAACCGAGCCAGCGCAAGTTAAAACGGCTATCGATAATTTTGAAAAATGTATTGTCGATGTGAGAAATAAAATTGACGACATAAGAAATGAAGCCAAAACTATTTGCACTGAAGCCCAAGGCAATAAAAGGAGACGACGTAATAATAGCAGTCACGATCACCGAGTTGCCGCATTAGAAGTATGCGACAATATAGTGAATTCTGCAAATGACAGATTTCAATTCAAAGATTATTTGGTAGCCGCATCCCTTTTTTTCCCCGAAGACTTTTTAGAATACTGTGGTAAGTTTCCTGATGACTTATCCCGAATTAGAAAAAAGTCGTTTAAAGATAGAGTTGTCTGTTATTTATGCACGGAATGATTGCCGAGATTTACATGTAACTCTGTCTCTTTTGAAATTTTTGATACAAAATAGTTTGGAGGAAACACTAAAAGAAACAAAAAAGCTATTAGAAATTATTGTTTCAACTCCTATGTCAACATCAGAGGCTGAGCGAAATTACTTGAAAATAATCAAGACTTTTCTTCGAAATATGACCCAGGATCGCCTTACAGCTGTCCATTGAAAAGGAATTTATTCCGACCATGGAAAATTTCAACGGGAAGGTGATCGACAAATTTGCTGCCAAGAAGGAGCGCACGATTGAACTAACATATAAAAAATAGGTAAGTTTGGATTTGCAGTACACCTGTTTCATTTTGCCACGAGCTTATGCTACACATACGATATTATCGCAAAATTTTGATCTTTGGCATCTGTGTTCCTAGTTGTTTCTGAAACGCCGCTACAGATCTATGAAATTCTGAATATCGCACTGTCGACTACAGCTTCTTCGTAAAATTGGTAGATTTGAGACTTGTCATCAGGTTCACAGAAAAGCGAGGAGGTTTGCAAATGGCACTCGTTCCTGCTATGAGTTAAGAACGAAATTCAAACCCATGACATCGATGCCTCTTGCCGCTTCAGCGATCGTAATACAGGCCTAAGTTTCTGAAAATGGCACTCTTCTCTTAAAATTGGTGGACGACGAGCTGCTATCAGGATCAGTACCGCGAGGAGGTATGTGAATTGTATTGTGCCGTATCGATGATACTCGCATGAAATTTGGATCCTTGGCATTTATGCAATCCTGGTGCAGATCTATTGGTTTCTGAAAATCGCACTGTCGAGCAGACTTCTCGTAAACTTGGTGGACGACGAGATGCTGTCAGTATCGCAGAAATGCGAGGAGGTATTTAAATGGTGCTCTGCTTATGCTAAGATATTCGCGCGAAATGTTGATCCTTGGCATCTATGCTCCTCGTCGTTTTTGCAACCCTGATACAGATCTATAGGTTTCTGAGGTTCGCACTGTCGTCCAGACTTTTCTCGTAAAATTGATAGGCGACAATTTGCTAGGAGAATCACAGGAACGCGAGCAGGTATGTGATAGTGCTATATCTATGATACTCGTATGAAATTTGGATCCTTGCATCTATGCTCCTTGTGTTTTCCGCGATCCTGATGCAGATGTATATGTTTCTTAAAGTCGCACTGTCGATCAGGCCTCCTTCGTAAAATTGGTAGATTGGATACTCGTTATCAAGTTCACAAAAACGAGAAGAGGTATGCAAATGCTACTCTGCTCCTGCTATGGGATAAGTATGAAATTCAAATCTGTGGCATCTATACCTCTTGCAGTTTCTGAATATTGCACTATCGATCAGGCTTTCTTCGTAAAATTGCTAGATTGGTTCACAAAAACGAGAGGAGGTATCCAAATGGTACTATGCTCCTGCTGTTGGAAAAACACGAAATTGAAGGCGTATTTATGTTTGCTAAATAACTAAAGGTGATTCCGATAAATATTCCTATTGTACATGTAAGAACAAGCAAGAGACTGGTGGTGTTTGTTTTATGAAAATTTGTATTTTTACGAATTGTTATAAAATTTTCATCTATATCTCGTATCCACAAATTTTGGGGTAACATCAAGAGTAACATGATAATAGAAATAATACATTTAACAAAGAACTTAAGTTTTTTTACTATAAATATGGTATAACATCTGAAAAAATATTTTTTTTTTACAAATTTATTATAGGTTCCTACAAGCATACAATTTTATAATACTAACAATAATTGTCAACATACTTTTTGTAATCTGCAACTTTTCAATCAATAAAGTTATAACAGTATGAGTTATTGTTATGACAATGTAATATTATACCTATTACAATAATACTAACAAGTCGATATGCATAGACATTATCTAAGATCAAGTCACACAAAATTTTATATTCAAACTAGTACCTAACATAAACATTGTAGCGTTTTTCTGGGTTCTTTTGGGTGTGGTTTAAAACACTGGATTCCATAAAACGAAATGCACTAATTTATTTAACTTGACATAACATTTATGTACACCACTATTTATGTGTGACTAATAATGCTTATGTCTCACCATTGACTGGACTATACTCCACTCCGCTCTGCTCTGGTGTAATCAGTACCCCACTTCCATCTCCCGGCCGCCGAGTGATATAGTCCGCATCGTTGAGTCTAGAAGAATCGGGAGCCACATAGCGGCGTTCCCGAATAGTCGAGGTTGCTTCGCGTCGATCTAGAAGGCGAGCCATTGCCACGGTCCTCACAGACGCCGCCAAGAGGCCTGTGCGGTCGTGGTTCGCGTAAAAGCAGAGATCGGCCATGAATAAGCTCTGGCGAGTAGGAGACTCGCCCAACAGATGGCGCCAACAGTACTATTTGTCAAAATATTGTCATCTAACCTCATAAAAGTGTGAGTTTCATTACAATAGTACCTCCTACTAATAAGTCGATATTCATATGTGATATCAAGTCGAAGCTTTCTGTTGAGCTGTTTTAAGCACATACATAGCTTCCTTACATGACATTTATATTTCAGGTCACCATATCTTTGTCACACACACAATTTATACACATGGAAATCTGCAGTATAAATAATTGTTTTATGTTCATGTGCAAAATTTGATAATTCTTAAAAAGCACAAAACATAAACACCACCAGTTTTATTTTTCTTGTTCTTTCACGTACAATGGGAATACTTATCGGAATCCCCTTAGCTATTCGGCAAACATGATTACGCCTTAAGCCTCCTCTACACTACTCGTGAAGTTGGTTCGTCGAAGTTGGCCAAAGTCCGAAGTACGTGGCTATACACTCGTTCAACTTGGCGAGTCAGGAAGCAGGCGAAGTCGGCCGCTAAACAACATAATGACGTTCGAGTTGCTGCTGCCGTTTCAATGCGCACTCTCGCGTATTTTAACTAGGTGCGTTATCCAGTTCATCAAAACCACTCACATAGGTACTTGCATGATAACGTTTCGATACGAACTGACGTAAGCCGACCAGTGTATGGAGGGATATATTGCCTTATTCGCTTGCCTTTGGCTTCGCGAGTAGTGTAGCTGAGGCTTTAAATCTTATGTTTCTGTATTGGTATTCCTCAGTCTCAGTATTTTATTCAAAGCTTCTCTTTTTATAACATTCTAACAAAATAGCAAAGGTAGCAAAAACGTCCGAAGAGCTGGCAACAAGCAGCGCAATCCAGGTGACAAGAATAACAAGGTCAGCTGCCAAAACTTATGTCTAGCCTGGGGTACCGATGTAATTATTTCGAATGTCAATGCGTCAATTTTCCAGTTTTCATTTGTCTATGTGTTGTGCAATGATTTCGGGAAAAATTTCGCTACGGATAATCTTGTAGAGCCTACTAAAGTATATTTCAACAGTTGTCTTGCGTGTTATCTTTACTCGAGACAAACATTTTCTGTAGACATCAGCTCGTTTTAATTTAATATCTGTAAAAACCAGGGTGTTTGGTTCGCTCTTTCATATACTAATTTCTAGACCATAGCTTCTGCCATATATTTATTCATATCCATACAATGATGCTACAAATCATTAGATAATTTATCACAAATTCCTTACGAATTATGATATTGATCTGTCGTTGCTATATATCACAAACAAGGATGATAGAAGCCGAAAACATATACACTGAAGAAGGTTTAATTCCATGCTATTCAATGGCAACACGGTGACTTGTATGGTTGCCAGCAGCCATTTTTTGAGGGTGCGACATGGTTGCCAGATTGTGCATTAATATCCCAGCTCTACATATAAATCTGAGATTGCTATACTTATATATATATATATATATATATATAGAAAATGGTGGAATATGGAAGATCTTATAACAGCATGTGTTATTAATATTTTGCGCTATCTTGATATATAATAAATGCTTTTTTTTGTATGTTAAAATAGCAACGTCAACAACACAAGCTGTTATAAGATCACTCATATCTACTTACTAATCTGGAAAGATTCAGAAGAAAAACATACTGCAAATACCTAAATATATATTTGTTATATAAATCTCATACATTTTTCTACAAACAAATCAATATTAACATCATTATGGTCCAGATGTTTTCATTCCCCAGCCTTTGTTGGCACCTGCATAAATCAAAAATTAGAAAAAAATTTAATTGTGTTGATATGTTACTACAATTCACAGGTTTCTTTTTTTATTAGAACAATAATATAATTGTCCACGGGTATTCACAGGCATTTTTCTCAATGTGCTGGTCATCATCAAGAGTTAACTGTTACCACAGCTCCCTGTGGGCACCCATGTTACTGTTCAATATACTGGGCTTTGATTTCATTAAAATTACAGTGAGCTTTACATATCAACCCTACTGCTCTGTCAATAGCTGATTTAAAACGAAGTATGAAAACTAACTTGGACAAAAAGCAGTACAAATCATCACTAGTTATTGAGTCATATAAAAACTTACACATGTTATGTTCTGCAACTGTTGAACTGTTCGTGGCGCTCCACTGTTCAAAGAGTGATGAGGAGATACAAACAGGTACGATCTTCAAATATTAAGAAAATGACATGCTGAATGCTGAAAAAAGTAAGGTTATTTTTGCGAGAGCACAGGCAGGAAGAAACCCGCCAGAAATTTAATTCTGGCCAATCAGACAACGTCAGTTGTGAATAAGTCGCCATTTTTTGAGGGTGCGACATGGTTGTCATATTATGCACCAGCAACACTGCTTTGTTTCCCATTCGCCAATATGAGTTTCACGTTTCACCCCCCTGGATAGAAGGAACCACAAAACATACACGGATCGGAAAGAACGTCTACTTGAAACGATTGGACAGGCAACACGAATAACTTTTGCAGCCATGTTTTTGCAGGGATAGAGCAAATATGACACGGACCCAACACCTGCGCAGAACAATTCTACGGGCAACACGAATGATGTTTGGCATTTTTTTGAAGAGAAACGACACATCACTTATTTCTACTAGTTTTGTTTATTTTAAAAATTGACATCGTTAAGCTGCTCTTAACAAAAACAAATCAAAAAATATAAAATTAGGTTTTTACACGGTGGAAACTAAAAATAAAACAACATGAGTAATACTGCCATTTATTTCAGATGTGATATATACAGGGTGGCCCATCCATGCGTGGGCGGAATATTACTCATAAACAAATACATTTTGGGAATATTTATTTATGGCATGGTATACATGACATTTGACGGTACATTTCTAAAATATTGGCCATTATACAGGGTGTCCCAATTTTGACCTACACATCAAAGTTGTGATTTTTAAAATGGAATGCCTCAAATTTTATTGCGTATTTGGACAAAACAATTCAAAAGAAGAAGATTGATATGACATACTATGGGGTTTTTGGTAATTAGCTACTGAGATGTAAGGTGTTTTATCCAGAAAAACCTCTCACTTCGGCAACCCTTCAATCCGCCATTTTGAAATTTGTAGTGCTGAATTTTGTATCAAAAATAACTTACACATCTCAGATTTTATCTTATTTGTTACTTTTTCGAATTTTAATTTTTCCTCATACAGGGTGGTAAAAAACGCGAATTGCAGCTTTTTTATACAAAATTCAGCTCTCCATATTTCAAAATGGCGGACTGAGGGGTTGCCGAAATGTGGGGTTTTTCTAGACAAAACACCTTATATATCAGTAGCTAATTACCAAAACACCATCATAGTATGTTATATCAATGTTCTTCTTTTGAATTGGTTTATCCAAGTATGCAATAAAATTTGAGGCATTTCATTTGAAAATCACAACTTTGATATGTAGGTCAAAATTGGGACACCCTGTATAATGGCCAATATTTTAGAAGTGTGCCCTCAAACATCAAGTATAACATCCCATAAGTAGATTTTCCCAAAATGTATTTATTTATGAGTAATATTCCGTCCACACATGGATGGGCCACCCTGTATATATATAAAGAGAAAATGATCATCTTAATAAAGGTATATACCAGAAATAGGAAAATGATTGGCAAAATCCGCAAAAGTACCTTTCTCGGCATGATAATTTTCTCTTTGTAGATCCCTTTGGGCTTGAAGTACCACCTACATGGCTATTATGTAAAAAAACATATGAAACGTCGAAAAAAAAACAATAAAACGTCATCTTGTAGACTAGGTATTTTTGAGGGTGATTCCACGTTTGCTCACTATGATCGCTGTGAGCGTCCGTCTATAATGTCACAAAAAAATAATATAATGCCAAAACAATCGACATAATGCCACTTTAAACATACGTAATATCCCTGCCGGAGTGTATCACTTCTTGTGGACGCAACAATCTTGTGCAGTTTAATGCTTCCAAAACGCAGTACTGTACTTTGATCAACAAAAAGCGTCCTAGCGATCATCCAGTTTTGATGGTCGGCCGAGTTCTGCCAAAGAGCCCTTCATTTCGGCTGATCGGAGTCTCGATCAGACTGACTGACTTGATCTGGCACGAACACATCTCGCCCTTGCGGAAGCTGCTGGGCTATTTGTTTAGGGCTAAGAAGTTCTTTTATCAGCATCACCTCCTCACTCTATACAAGGCCCAGACAAGTCCTAGCTTCGAGTGTTGCTCACAAGTTTGGAGTGCTGCCGCCCCGACAACATTATGTATGCTCGAAGCTGTCCAGATGGCATAAATCGCGAGCTTCTGGACTACCTCGAACGTCACGGCTTGATTAGCGACAGACAGTATGCTTTCCGGCACCAGCGATCCACAGGGGACCTCGTAGCACACGTCACACAATTGTGGAGTAAAATCATCCAGTCTTATGGTGAGGCTCATGTCTTTGCTCTTGATATCACGAATGCATTCGATCAGCTGTGGCACGCTGACTTCTTATGCAAACTTCCATCCTATGGCCCCCCAGAAAATATTTGCAGATGGGTGGCTGACTTTCTCTCTGACCGCAAGGTATCCGTCGTAATTCATCCCCCAACGTAAACACGCGTGTTCCTCAGGGATTGGTCTTGTCTCCGACTCTGTTCTTCTTACATATCAATGACCTCTTTGCCTGTACGATCAACCCAATCCACAGCTTCGCTGATGACAGCACATGCAGGAATTCAGATTGACAAGCCGTTCTCGACCGCTGAGCTGGAAAAAAGAAAACTAGCGACGATTTCCTCTCTGACCAGAGACCTGGAGGTTATCACTGCTTGGGAACGAAACAATCTTGTACAGTTTAATGCTTACAAATCATAGCACTGTACCTTGACGAACAAAAAGCGTCCTAGTGCTCATCCCATTTTGATGCATGGCCGAGTTCTGCCGAAGAGTCGTTTACTTCGGCTGGTCGGAGTCCAGATTACCGAGGACTTGATCTGGCACGAACACATCTCGTCAATAGCGGCAGCTGCTGGGAAAAAGCTAGTCTATTTGTTTAGGGCTAAGAAGTAATTTTCTCCGCATGACCTCTCTCAATACAAGGCCCAGATAAGGCCTAGCCTCGAGCTCTCTTCCATGATGTCGCCGCGCGATGTGGCTGCCAGACAGACCCGTCTGACTTAGACCTCCCATCCTAACCGTGTCGAACTTCGTACATGAAGAACTGGCAGATACAACCGCTCCTTTGTCCCGAGGATGATTGTGGAACAATCTACAGGAGAGAGCTTTCCCAGTTCTACTAACCTTAGGCAGTTCAAATATCGTATGAACAAAATTTCTTTGGGATCATTATAGCAACCGCGGTGTTCCGGGATTTAGACTACTGGCTGCGCGGCTGCTCCGTTGTAAAAAGAAATGCAAAAGCTAGAGCTGTATATATTGTAAATATATAATGACATCTTCACTCAATTCTTCCACATTTTTTTTAAATTTCCAATTTTCTCAAAATCGTTATAATTTTTTCCTGACTTCATTTGTGAGATTTCAAAATAAATTTGCTAACTAACAAGAGGCATAATTAGAATCTCAATGTCACGTTTCGTCGCTTGTCTTCCAGCATCAACTTAATTTTTTCTTACTGACGCCATATTGGAATTTTGCACAGATGAATCGAGTTTTTAATTTCAATTTCAAAAATGTATGATATGTCATAGATTAACATTGACAAACCTTTGTTATGTCAAAGAAGCAGAATTTTCTAGGTAGGCCAGATAGTCGTTTGTTTCGCATACCATATATCCCAGAATCACTTTTATTTTTTGCTGACTTCATTTGAGATAGGATTTCAAAATAAATTTCATGTTATCATTGTTACTTATTCTTCTCTACAACATGACGTAATCAAATTTTCAACTCGACGTTTCTTCTTTCGACTTCCATCACCAGCTTTGTTTATTCATATTCAGGCTATATTGGAATTTTGTGCAATTAATGGGATTTTTCAGTCCCAAAGTCAGTGATGTTTTCCTTAGTTGCCCATGAATTTATTGTTGGATGGAAACTATAAGGAAATAAAAAGTTATGGTGAATCCTAAACACAAAATGAAAATTTTATTGATGGTAATAACATAAATAAGCATATTTTTTTCTCCTGATCCGGAAATCAAAACCTATGATCCAGATCAACAATGACCAATTAGAAAGCGTTTTAGTAAAACTGGTTAAAAATTTAGCCAACCGGAAACACGTATCATAAACCTTGTAGATAATAGAATTAACAAAACAAACATAAACACCTAAGAAGATTGAAAAAAGGATATATCGGTTGTCAATTAGGTGCAGATTTCAATAAACCCCTTGATTATCTTCCTTTATCACGTATTTCTGCTACTGTACCTTATCTGCATGTCGTCCTTCAAGGTAAATATATAGATATATTTCTGGGTTACTATTATTTTAAACACCTTTATCTGGTTTATATAGGAATATGCCTTTGCTTTAGTAAATTTTAGAAAGAATGGTAGAAACCGGATAAGAAATTATACTACAAAAAGAAAAGTCTGCAGAATGTAAAATGGAAACCCTCTTTGTCAGTTAGAGGTGGGGTATGTATTCGAATTCAGATAATAACGATATTCGAATACGCATTTCAAGTTTTTGCTATTTTGTGATACAATAAAAATTATAATAAATTATAATGATATTTATGATAACCAAACCAAATTTGCACTAATTCAATAGGATACTTCGCCAGCAGACCCATTTTATTTTGTGCAACATAGGTATTCCACTGGTTAAAATGAATTAGTACCTGGAAATACTGCACGCTATTTGTCACAATTAAGAATAAATTTGAACCTATGATAAACACAAACGATCAGATGAAACTAATATTATCATTCGAATTTTTCTCGCGACATTCTGTTTTTCCAAATATTCGGGTAATCAGTGCGTCTTCAAAACGTGGATTCTATAAAAATATACGTATATCATTGTTATGTGACACGATAAACCAGTGCATTTGAGAGAAATACAGGTAGTATCGATATTGTATAATCATCGACCACAATGCAGCTGTGCAGTGCACATCTTCGATAATTCCATCACTATCCCACTGTGACAACTCATGAAGCGACTACCCCAATAATCTTACTTTTTAATGAGAGTGTTTATGGAGTGTCCCTTGTTTTGTTGTTCTGATTTATATAACATTCACCCTAAACACAAAAACAACACAGTATCACATTCAAAATAAGTAAAACTTTTTGTAACCAAATTTTTTAAATAAGGCGCCCACTGGTGGGGCTCGCGTCCAGTTCTTTATTTGCTTCAGAAACTTGGGTAACCCGATTCCCTTTTTAGTTTTGATTTGATTTCTCGAAGGATCATATATTACGGGGTTGACCAGAAACACATACGAATTTCAAAACCGCATTGCTCGTGTCAGGCACGCGGGTGCGGGACACGGGTAGTGGGGATAAGTAGGTTGGCGCTCGGAAATTTAGTCGCCATGGAGCGTTTCACCGGTGAGCAGCATGCGTTCTGTGTTAAGCCAGCGCCAGCGTAATTGCACGACTTAGACCCTGTCACGCCTTTTTTTATAAACAAGACGAAATGGTGGTGTGATCCCTCTTTCCTTTTTTTTGTTTTTTTTTTTAATTAATTAATGAATTAATAAATCACTATAAATGATATCTAAGGGCCAGTCAATGCAAAACTGCTGTCAAGTAGCGTGCAAATTTAGGCCCTATTTCAATAAAGCGGAGTGCATGGGGGTTAAGAGCGCCAGTGGCTCAAGACGGATTAAGCCAGAAATCTGCGAGATGTTAGTCGGAACTTGTTTTGCCTGACCACCTCACAAAGAAAAGAATCTAACAGTAATGATGAAACCTAATTAATTGTACATAGAGAGCCAAATAAAACAAGATATTTAAAAAAAAGAATCACAATATATGATCAAAACAAGCAGCACATATGCTCCACCACTGGAGTGCAAGTAAAAAGAAAGGATATTATTCAAAATTACCTGACAATAACATTATTAGACCATGATAATCAACCCTTCAAAACGTTTACCATGGTACCCGTACGAAGGCTTTCTTTAGAAATATAGGCTTCACAAATATTTTAACACCTAAACTTATCTGGACAGTGGTCTTCTTTCTTCCAGTTACAGCTCTAGGCGCAGCTGAGATGTAGTCAGCTCACAAACGCTCAGGTCAAAAAAACCAGTGGTGAGCAGTAACGTGAGGAACGTCACAAGGTAGGGGCTGCTTGCCTTCCAAAATTTACGGTATAAAAAAACCTGTTCACATCAGGTTTTTTTATCAAGGGGAAGGGATGGTTTCCAACAAATCGGCTGCGAAACAGCTTCAAGGCAGCTACAAAACAAAGCTGGAGGAGTGTGACTGGTGGTTCTCCGCAATGCCTTCCCAAACCAAAACAACTAAACGTAAAGTACAAAATAAACTGATGTTTGGGGCGTTAATATCTCAAAATCTGGAATTTAACGAAGAAACGCCCACACACAAACAAAATCACAGCGGAAAAGAAAAGAAAAATGGCACTGGACGCGTCTATACGCAATTATTGAAGGTATCTTGATAGTAAATCAAATTTTAACAGAAGGTATCTTGATAGGAGAGTAAACATTCGTATTCGGCTAGTACGTGTAGAAATGACAAGGTGGCGCGCTGGTTGCCAACTCTGTCTGCGGGGGACCATCAAAATTTTATGGGGAAATTTCTCATTAGTGTTTAAAAATATTTCAAAACAATACCTGAGAAAAACAGATATAATACGTGTTAAATTATACAATCAATAAACTATGAAATTTACCAAAATAATATCATTAAAAAGGGTTTGGTCTAGGAATCGGTACTCTATAATCAATAACGAGAAATTCACATGACTGGTAACTGATCAAAATAATAAAAAAAAGGTTACGTGATTTTGGCACGTGACAAAACTATGATGTAAGTACAGATTTTACGACAGAGCCGTACTTGGAATTTCAATTCAACTGAACAGTGAGTACTATTCATTTATTTTTTTTACTTGTTCGCCTACGTTTCACCACACATTGGCCCTAATGAATAAAAATGTATGAATTGCTTTGTCTTACAAAATAGAAGGAAAAACTTAAAAACCGATGAATAAAAACCTGAGTAATTGCTTTTGCCTTCAGCAATTGCTTAAAGTTGCAGCAATTGCTTTTGGATGAAGCTTTTTCTTAAAAAACACCATCTATTGCTTAAACATGCTTAGAATGGGATGACTAAAACACGCATTTGCTTTTCCTAGTGTAGTAATTGCTATTAGATATTTAAAGTAGGTCGATCCCAGCTTGCATTTGCCTTTAGTGAAATTTTGTTCGTTCTACTACATATACGGATTGTTTTTACTGATTTGGAATTTGGTAGTTATGGCCGAATATATGAATATTCGTGTAAAAAAAGTATACAGTGTACGTAAAGAGTGCCCAGACAATGATTTCCGAAAATTATATCGGTTTAATCGCGAAAATGTGGAGTGGTTAGCGCATTATTTTTTGGCCGACAGCCGTGAAAAGCGAGGAGGAGCATTATCAGCTGTGAAGAATAAGAAAATTTTTCTGCGTCAGTTGTCAGACCCTGGCTTTCAAAATGCCGTTGATGAAGAGCTTGGTGTTCACCAGACTACTGTTTGTAAAACATATACTTCCGTCCTGAACGCCGTTTTGGAGAAGGCCTACATTTGGATTAAATTCTCCAAAAGTGCTAAGACTTTATGGATGCTAAACAACTGTGGTCGGAGAGATACCGTTTCAAAAATTCTATCGGCGCAATAGATTGTACGCATGTCAGGATTCCAAAGTTTGCTGAATTCGGTGAGGAACATATAAACAGGAAAGGATATCCTAGCATCAATATACAGGCAACTTGCAATGCCAAAGAAATATTTACAAGTGTAGACTGTCAATGGCCAGGCTCTGTACATGACAGCAGAATATTTAAAAATTCCAATATATTCAACATTCTTAAAAACAGCACCGAAGAATGTGTATTATTAGGGGATGATGGCTATTCTATATCCCCTTGGATTATGACTCCCTGGAGAAATCCAACAACCCCAGAACAGCAAAATTATAATAACGTTTTTTTGTCGAGAACGAGTAATAATTGAACGATGCTTTGGGCAATTAAAAGCAAGATTTCCTGTCCTACACTTTCAATTTATTTACAAATTTAATTCGTCAATTAGGACAAAAAAAAAAGGCAAATAGTGACTGAAATGCTCTTCAATTATCATGTAAGTAACAACTGGTACTTATATTACGTGTAGGTACACAATTAAAACAAATCATAAATACTATACCGTTATTAAACAAATGGAAACAGAACAATATAATTCTCAGGTACCTATATTCAACTTAAATTCAGATTTTATTAATTTTTGATACTCGATGTAAACCCAAATTAAAAATTAAATAATTAATAATAATTACAAGTTGTAATACATTTTTTCCTCCGAAAAACTACTGTTTGGCATACAGTTACTTGCTTCTGTCTCTTAATGATTTCTTCTTGTTGCATTCGACATAATTTCAACTGCTCTAATAAAGCTAATCGCTGCAACTCAGCATTTGATAATTTTTGGGTTTCTTCAGTTTCTGGTAAATGTGACATCTTAATTTTCTTTGCAGGAATAGTAATTTCTTTTGCACTTAAGGGGGCCAGAGTGTCACTGATGGCCGAGGTGGAGGCTCCATCAAGTGTTATGCTTTCGTTGGCTCCAACAGAGACAGCACCTGAATGATTTATTGTGATGTTTAAAAAAACCTACGATACAAGAAAGTGTAATTTGCTTTACCTGGTATTTTTTTGAAGATGGGATTCTTATGTACTTCCAACATTTCCATTAACAACTTTTCCCAAGACTTATAGATTATAGCTTTATTGCCTGTCTTATTAATATTAAATTTCTTCTTTATTTCGGTCTTCATATTACTTATTTTTTTTTTTGCTATCTGCTTTGTTGTAAGTGTCGCGTTAAAAATATCTTTATATTGTTGTACTAAAATTTTTAACTTGTGGAACTTGCGATTTATTAAGAACGATTTTATGTTCTTTTGATTTATGCTCAAATAACAACTGCTTATCCATTTCTTCCTCATCATGGGATTCGTCACTTCCACTTGAATCAGCCATAATTTTCACTGCCTTTTTTATGTTTTACCGAAAAATATGTTCCTAATCCCACCTACTATGTTATGCCGAATGTAAGAAACTCGGAACTAAACTGAAATAATTGCGCGTATCGACTCCTAAACATACTTGCAAGTCTAAACGCGTTGAACACATACATATATAAGCAATTGCTTTTAAGATTCGGGAAATGCAGCATTTGCTTAAAAATATTATTCATTGCAAAATTTAGCAATTGCTTTTAGTTACAGCAATTGCTAGTTAAGCAATTGCTGTTGCCTAAATGTCATGAGGCTTGTTATCAATCTTTGGCTCTGATGTGATGTAAAATCTGCTTCTGAGATAGCATTACTGGAGGACTAAGCTGTAAGTTGTATGTGTTGATGATAATTACATTTTATTCTTGTCTCAAATACACTTAATTGAGATTCAAAGCTAGAAATTAGTTGCGCAGCCACTTTTTCTTATCCATTCATTAAATTATGGTGCATATACAAATTTGCTGAATTTCAAAAATGAGAGAGATAAGAAGTAATTATATTCACTGTATACTGTCAAATTACAACCCATATACATGCTAACAGTAATTGCACACAACACGGGCGCGGTGATGATTTTATACAGATGCAGACCAATACACATTATTATCCAGATGCGATCTTGCTATTCAACCAACTTTCATCTCAGAGATAAAATCTACAGACAAGGACCACTCGGCCTCACAAAACATATGCAACCAAATGCGTGTAGTTTAGTTTAGTAATTCCTCCATAGATGGACGTTCACAACGATCCTAGTGAGCAAACGTGGAATTACTGTTTGCGCCCTGAAAAGTACCTAGTTTGCAAGATGACATAGGTTTTTTTTTTGGCGTTTTGTAGGTCTTTTACATGATACCCATGCAGTGAGATGTCATTTTTCATTCATCGTGAGATCGAATTATCGTACTTGATTCACATACAACCACAGATTTATTTCATGCTTGTGACAAATTAAGACCACGTTTCGATGTGAATAATGCTTATACATTGAATCACCCTAATTAACACGTCCCATATCTAGTATTCGTTTTACTCTACTATTAACAGTTGATATATTTGTAGTACTGCCAACCTAACAACAGTAAACATGAATAATGTATTAGCACACACATGATTGTTATTTTACCACATAGTATTTGAACCTAATAACATTTATTTTTCAATTCAATTAAAAGAGCCGAAATGGAAACGTTTATTTTGTGGATCTACCGCGATTTCAGCCACACGACTTTTTGTTGAACAATTTGATATGGTTGCACTGGGCAGTCCTGTGACTGGATGGACAAGGCAGTTCTGATTTCAAATATAATAAAGATATTCCAGTGCTCTTCCTTTTCCCCAATATACATTATATGCATACTGAAATACTTTTATTAAAAATATGAATGCCACCACTTTCCATAAATTTCGCGTTAGTGCTAGAACAGTGGTCGCCAACCTATTCAGTGTGTTGAGCTACTTTGATAATTTTTTAATAAACAGTGAGCTACCTAGTCGTAAACATGAAAGCCAACTGAAATAAAATTATACGCAGTTGTATGCGACATAGTGAACATGTGTTTATTTTACTTGTACAAATACATACTAATAAACTTAAATAAACTAATAACTAATACAATCGTAGATAATAAACAAAATGTTTCGTCAGCTACAATGGCATGTCACATATGATTTAATAAAGGTAACTAAAAATAAAAAAGCAACGCACTATTTTAAAAAAACATGTCCAGATAAAAAAATGCGTATTCAATGAGAAGCCTGACACTCAGACTCACTGACATTTTTTTACTGTTTAGAGTATAATTTGATACCGCCGTTCGAATACAATTATCCAAATGTTTATCTGTAAGCCGATTACGGTATTTGTTTTTAATAAACTTCATATTTGAAAAAGAAGGCAAAACGACATAAAACTGAATATTTATCTTTACTTACTGAAGGCCAGATACATTTTGAATTTGAGACTAATGACTTTAAAGCTAAATCATTTCGAAACGCAATCACTTACATTTCTGTCGCAGCGATGCCTTCGCTAAAATTCTGCGTAACAGAAGTTGCAAACTGTTGGATATCAATTTCCATGAAGGGTGAAACAACAAATTGCACAACTATAGCAATTTTGGTGAAATCCTTGAAACGATTTTTGAAGTTATCCTTCAAGGTAGAGACTATTTCTACATGATATTTACTGTCATGTGTTTCTAATGGACTTTGAGATATATTTTCTAAAAGAATAGGAAAATGCCTGGTATCGCCATCGATTAAGTTTTGTTCCCAAAACTCAAGCTTTTTGATAAACGCTTTTATATCAGAAATCATTTCTGTTAGTTCTTTGCATCTCCCCTGAAGCTGCAAATTAAGTTCATTTAATTTTTCTGTAATATCCACAAGTAAACCAAAATCTCTAAGCCAGATTGAATTTTCCAGTTCCGGAATCGGTTCATCACGTTGTTTGAAACATTGAACTATATCATTAAAACGTTTCAGTACTCGTCCCCAACTAAACTATCGGACTTCAAAGGGAAGAAGTAGTTCCCCGTATTAACAGTCAGTTTTATCGGGCAAGGTTTTGAATAATCTTCTTTGTAACGCTTGAGCTCTAATCTTGTTCACCATTTTTACTACTAATTTGATAACGTTGTTTAGTTTTAGAAAATGTCCACATAATGCTTGCTGATGGATAATGTAGTGGTAACATAGAAATTGCGGAAAACTTTCATCTTTACGACGTAACCCTTATCACGACCCACCATAGCTGGAGCGCCATCGGTTGTCAAGCCTACCATTTTCGATATTGGAATTTTCTCTGAAGAAATAATATTTAAAAAAACAAGTCCTGCCGAGTAGTCTGTCATTTTAGTGGAATAAACTTCAGAAGATCTTTAATCGTAAAATCACTAAAAACCATCCTGACGAACACGGCCATCTGAGAGGTGTCAACGACATCTGTGGATTCATCCAGTTACAGTGAAAAATAAGCAACAATTATTGAAGTCATTTTTTAACTGTATCATTGCTCATTACTCTACTCGTCTCATCACTGTACTAGCAGAAAGTTGCAAAGATTTTATAGCAGACACTATCTCGTCTTTATTGCAAATAATGAATCTGTTCTATCATTCCGCCGTCTTCATAAGGTTTCTTCTTTTGTGTAAATATCTGGGATACTCGGTATGATGTCGTAGTTGCAGCCTTGCTTTTGTCGATTGTTTTTAAAAGTATTGTCTGTTGTCCAATTAACTGATTTTTTTGTTTCAGTTTTTCCGTACTGGTTGCAAACGTTATGAGAATGATTTTTCGAAATTCGAATGGTGTTATAGTGCCTCTCGATATTTCCTTTTTAGCAATGGAAACAGATGTATTACATAACAAACATACATTTTTATCTTTAACTCCCGTAAGGAAATATTGTTCTTCCCATTCCGAATGGAAATGCTATGTCTTCATCTTAATACTGCTCATAATGTTTTTAATTGCAGGCCAACTCTAACCCAATTGCTAGACTTTGTGCCGTTCAGTTTTAAACTGAAGTAATCGAGATCGTTCTCGAACAGATCGCTCTAGATTCTATGATTTTTACACCTTTTTAAAATTTGTTGTGAGCCACCAGAATTGCCTTTGCGAGCTACCGGTATGCTAGAACATCATGTAGAGATCTATTTAAGAGATTCACTTTTGTCGAGAGGAAATAAATAAATGTTTGCGCCAAATAGTGGTTCATATATCTACAAATTATAATTTATTTAATCGACAATCAACACGTTGAGGCACCTTTAAAATTATATCTTAGGTAAGTAATACACTGTTCTTTTCAATTAAGTGCTCTGTAATTGATGTCTAACAATTTAGGCATTATATCAGATTTGATCCACGATTCGGGCAGGGATTAAAGGGTCCTCTTCAATTGGCCAATTTTTGATCCAGTTTCACTAAAACGCTTCTTAATTGGTTATTGTTGATCCGAAGTGAAAAAATATGTTTTTGTAGCTAAACCAGGTGCTGTATAAATAATTTCTTGATTTAATTTGGGGATCAGAGACCCTTCTTACACAGCTCGTATATTTTTACTCTAGTTTGCGTGATACAGGGTGAGCCATTAAGTTGAGCGGATTTTAAAAATCATAGAGAAGACTGAAAAGCGTAGGGAAGATACGTATATAAAGTGTTCCTTAATGATATGCGAAAATTTAAGGGTGTGAATCTAGATGAAAAATTAATGTTAGTTTGCTTTATAAACTACGGTCCAAAAATGTTTCCTAACAAAAACTTGGGTGTTGAAGTTTTAGGACTAAAAATGGAAATTAATTAATATTTTCCGAACCGCTTCTGATATTTCACTAATATTTAGTACGTAGTGAAAGTTAATAAAGTTGCATATTTTTGAATGCAAAAATAATTTAGTGGCGAATGGTGAATTATTCAAATGCAGAAATGGCGGAAATGCATTACGTAACATATATGGCCTTGCCGACGGTAATGGTGAGCAAGCCAGACGGATTTATCACCAGAGATATCCCGATCGTGCTTTGCCAGATAGTCGAACCTTTTCTAATATTCATCGTCGTCTTGTTGAAACTGGTTCTGTCCGAAAAGGAATATCTGAAGGTAGACCGCTAAGTGTAAGAAAACCTGAAATTGAGGAAGCAGTGCTTCACGAAGTCGAAGAACATCCTGAAACGGGTACGAGGAAGATCGCTAGACACTTAAATATTTGCCATCAAATTGTTTGGAGAATTTTAGTGGATTTTTTGTTATATCCTTACCATATTTTAAGAGTGCAGGCATTACTTCCCATTGATTTTCCAAAGCGTGTGACTTTTTGTCAGTGGTATCTTCAACAAATTACGCAAAATCCGCAATATGAATCAATGATTCTGTTCGCGGGCGAAGCTAATTTTTCTCGAAATGCCATTCAGAATTTCCACAATAATCATTTGGGCAGGAATTATTGGCCCATTCTTCTTTCCGGGACGACTTGACGGACAGACTTATCTCAATTTTCTTCAACAACAGTTGCCTTTGCTGCTTGATGATGTTCCGTTAGTAACAAGAAACAATATGTAATATAAAAATGATGGTGTACCAGCGCATTTCAGCGTAGCGGTTCGTAATTATTTACAAACTGTTTATCCAAATCGTTGAATTGGCCGCGGTGGGCCCCAAGAATGGCCACCAAGGTCCCCAGACCTCAACAGTTTAGATTTCTTTTTGTGTTGCTATCTTAAGACACTAGTGTACACAAGTCCCATTAAAATGTAGAGGAATTAAGAGAAAGAATAGTTGCAGCTTGTGATAGAATAAAAAACACTCTAGGTACATTTCAACGAGTACGCACTTCCATGAGATGGAGGGCGGAAGCATGCATACTAAGTGAAGGGGGCCACTTTCAACAATTTTTGTAATGATTTCGTTGGCTTTAATGTTATGTTTATGTTGTTGTTCATCACCCCTAATTTGTTTAATTTTTCCAATTAAATTAATAATAATTTTGCAAGTTAGACAATAGAACGGTTTTTATTTTTTTACTCAAAAATGGCGCATCAAAGGAAAACAATTCAAGAGAGATCATTTGTTTTAAATTGAACTGGGATTTCAAAAATAACTTTTATTTGGCAAAAAACCATGGGCGTACCACTTTTTTCTTAAAAAATATCGAAGTCAATACCCGTACGCACGCCACTGTTAAAGCTACAAATTATTTTTGCATTGAAAAATATGTAACTTTATTAACTTTCACTACGTACTAAATATCAGTGAAATATCTAAAGCGTTTCTGAAAATATTAATTAACTTCCATTTTTTTCCTAAAACTTCAACACCCCGAGTTTTTGTAAGGGAACTTTTTTGGACCATAGTTTATAAAATAAAGCAAGCTAACATTAATTTTTCATGTAGATTCACACCTTTCAATATTAGCATATCATTAAGGAACACCCTGTATACTCCTCAAATCTTGACTTCAAATTCGCGAAAACTCGTTGGCACATCGCCCGTAGGATAGCGGACGTCTCCTCGGAAATGTTGTGCTTGAGCTGGGCAATCGTCGTCGGTTTATTGGCGTAAACGCGGCTCTTGCGGTATTCGCAGAGAAAAAAATCAGTAGCGTAAGCCCTGGGCTCCGGGGAGACCACGGAATGTCCCCTCGTCGCGATATCAGTTTTTCACTGAACATTTCGTTTACAACTGCTAAAGACTCTTTGGCAGTTTGGGATGTCGCGCCTGTTTGTTGAAACCAGGTCCTGCTATGGTAGGTTTTAAAATTATGCAGTTGTGGAAAGAAAAAGTTACGTAGCATTGCTGTGTAGCGATTAGAATTTACTGTTACGGTCTAGCCTTGCTCGCTTTCGTAGAAATAGGGTCCGACGATTCCTTCAGCCGGTATGGCCGCCCAAACTGTAACATAACGCGAATGCAAAGGCCGTTGGTGCTTTAATTTGGAATTTTCTGCGGCCCAATAACGGTAATTTTGCTTGACAAATCCACTCAAATGAAAATGAGCTTCATTAGAAAAGAGAATATTGTTCAAACTTGGAAAGCGCTCTAACATTGTTTCGGCAAACTGATGGTGTAGTTCACTGTAGTTGGTGGTCCTGCGGTTTCAATTCCTGCACTAGCTGAAGTTTATATGTGTGCAATATAAGGTTTTTACCAAAATACCTGTGGATCGCGCCGTACGAACGACGCAACTTCGCTTACAGTTTCCTCTGTTCGTACTGACGCCCCGCGGATTTCTGATTCAGTGTCGAACCGGTAGACTCGAACTTTCTGATCCACGACCTGATCACGCTTTCATGTAAACTAAACTAAGAGCGAAACAGACGCCGCGCAATAGTGCACGGATCTCCTTTTTGTAATAAGCCTTAACACAAAAGGCACGCTGTTCACCAGTGAAACGCTCCATGGCGACTAAATTTCCAAGCACCAAGCTACTTTATGCTCACTACCAGTGTCCCGCTCCCGCGTGCCTGTCACTAGCAAGGTGGTTTTGAAATTCGTACGTCTTTCTGGTCCACCCTGTATTTTAGAAAGAATCGACGATGTTCATTCGATCCGTTATTAGAAAGATGCCTCCTCCATTCTGATCCGGATGAAGAATTTTGATCTCCTGTTAGTAAAATTGGGGCTCAGAGATATAAAAGGATTTGGAATTGGGAAGAGGAAAAGGATGAAAATTGTAAGATAAACTCATTATTACTGTTTACAATACAAAATGCTTTTATTAGCACATACCCATAAAAAAATATTAAAAAACCGTTTATACAAGATTATAAAAACGTCATATGGATTGTATCTTGGTCTCCACTCTTTCCCTGTATAAAAAGTTGATATTATAACAAATTAATATACTCGTATGTCAATGATACACAAATGTATTATTTGAAACCAATTCGCTTCAATAAATAAGTAAGACTCTTTATTTGGAGCTCTAAAGAAATTTTAGTTTAAAAAGCTACAAGCCCATCTACAACGATTAAGTATCAAGTTATTGAGAACCGTTCAACTTGTCTATTGTTAACTTTTCAAAAGCGATAATTTTATAACCCAGAGGTATTCTGTCTATAATAATATACTCCATTAAATTGTATTGGCAAAACATCAGAATATAAATAAAACATTCTTTAAAATACTAAAATTATTATGTAAAATAATAATGTTAGGCAAACATTCAAAACATTTGTCACAGAGTGATGCTATGCACCCCTTTACGCCCTACGTTTAGGAAATATTGTTCATCCAAGCATATATTGACATACGGATGGAGTAAATTCAAAGGTAATTTGACAAATCAAATGATATAAAATTAGC